CTACCACTTGAGCCACTCCACCAGCCCTGTAGAATGCTCTTTAATTTGGGTTTGCCGATGTTATTCTTTCTTTTGGGTTCTGGGTTTTTAGAAAGAAGAGTACAGAGGTGAAGTGCCCTTCTGCTCACGGGCAGGGGAAGGCAGGGTTGAGTACATGATGCCCACCTGACTTCTCCCCGTGATGCTGACCTGGTCCCTCTACTAAGACACTGTCTGCCAGGTGTCTCTCCTACAAAGCTACTGGCGTTTCTAGTCCTTACTGAAATTGGTGGATTGGTTAGAAGCCAATAACTAAGTCCAGGCTGTACTCACCTCTGCCTCCTGGAGGAGGGGACGGTGCTTTCTTGGCAATTCTGTAAGGAAGATTTGCCTCAGGCAGGGCATGATGGCCCATGCTTGGAACCCCAGCACTCAGGAGGCTGAGGTAGAAGGATCACCAGCTCGAGACCAGCCTGGAATACATAGTGAGTCCTGTCCCCACCTTTCTAAAAAAAAAACAAAACAGCTTGCCTCTTCTCTCAGTTAGTTAATTATTCAATAATGTACTTACATGGGTATGAACTCATAGATCTTTATTTTGAACTCTGGATTATAACCCAGTATCCTGCTATGTACTGGGTTGCTCACATTGTTCCAGCTCTGGCCACTGGGAGCGCCCTTGGCTCGGGTCCCTTTGCCACACTCCACTCACCCCCTAACCCCCACCCCGTTCTTTTGTTTGGAGCACTTCTTAATCTACCACCACAAGATACTCCAAGCTCACATTTTCCCTGCCTCAGCCCTAGAATCAGACATGGCTGCAAGGAAATAAATATTTTTTAAAACAAGTCCTTCCAATTATCTTGTCAACAAGCCAAATATATTGTGCCACATTTGAATGTGTGATAAAAAAAAAAAAGTTAATTGTTCAGTTACCATTTAAAACACACATCGATTTTTGTAGTCCTGCTGTGACAAGTCTTTGTAAAATATACCAAGCGCCTCAAAATGTGGGAGGGAGCTGATCCTTTCTCTACTTCCAGAAGGCCTGCTGAATTTGAGGGTCACCTTTGCAGCCACTCTGCTAAGGTGTGGGGGCATCCTGCCCAGCCCTCCTACAGAGATGGCCTGGCTCAAGCATCCTCCCCAGGTTGCGTTGCCAAGGTCATTCCTGGGCCCTTTCCCTCTCTAGCCTCCCCCTCCCCCTTGAGCATACACTCCCAAAAGTGACCAGTCCAGGAGCTTTGTAGATTCACCCAGGCAGGCTGGGCACAGTCAGGTGACCAGAGGGCACACAAGTTCCAGGAAGGAAGTGGGCAGGCAAACGCAAGGGCAGGCATGCAAGAAGCACAGTGGGAGGTGGACTTAGCCCCATTAGATCCAGAGGACTCCTGAGGACCAGGGCCAAGGTTTGCAAAATCCAGCTGTAAGTGGAACACAGCTTCCCTGGAGCAGCCCTGGGTTTTGCCGAAGAGTCAGTTCTCAGGAAAGAGCCACCATCACAAGCAGGAAGAGACTGAGACTGTGGCCCAACGGGCAGGGCAGGGAGCTATCTGACTCATTGCCCGGCCCTGCTGGTCCCTCTGTCAAGTGCTGGACAGCATGGGCCTGGGTGCACAGGGAGAGTCCAATCCAGCCTTGGCCAAAGAAGGTCCCAGGCTGGCAGCGGCAATCCAGCATATAGGGAGGACACAGACCAGGTGCAGAGGGGATGAGGAGGAGGAAGCCACTTTGCATCTAGGAGTCAGGGCAGACCTCACAGAGGAGGTCACATCACCAAAAAGATGAATGGAATTGGCCAAGCAGCAGTCAGGAGGGGAAGGTGGGGGGCACTCCTGGCCCACAGAGAAGCTGAAGCAGAGGCAGGGAAGTATCTGCCAGGTACTGGCACAGTGCCCACCACCAGACCAGTGCTCTAAATGTGAGGCATCCTCACTATGCTAGGCTATTAGCATCACTATTATATTAACCTAGACACATCACTTAATATTTTTACCATCTCTAAGGCAATGAGCACAATGAGAAATGCCTGCCATCGCTGAGTTCTTCTCAAACGCAAGGGCAGCTGTGGGAGATGAAGGGATGGTGCTCTGTGCTGGCTGGAGTGACTTTGAGCTTGGGATGTCTTGAGCTGGCATCCCTAGGGCTGTCTTGGGTCCCCTCTCTCCTCACCCTGTTGGTCCCAGGGGTTGCTGTGCTTGGGAGGAAACAGAAAGGGGACCACTTTGGGATCTTTAAAAATGATTAGCCACCAAACAGACACATGACAAGGTGGGACCAGGCAAGATCAGAGGAACAACCTCAGAACCCATCAGCTGTAGGCTCTCCTCCTCCCTACAATCTTCTCTGGCCCCCCACAGGCAGGTGTCCAAGCTGAAATGGACTGCCCTGTGAAGGGATATATGAGTTCTGGCTCTCCCAGCTCCTACTCCCTGAGCCAGAGACTTCACCTTTCCCAATCTCTGAGCATCCATGTTCTCAACTCGGAATTAAAGAATTAAGACAGGTACAGGAACACCCAAAGCAAGTTGAGCACCATACCTATAATCCTAGCTACTTGGGAGGCTGAGATTGAGAGGGTTGTGGTTTGAGGCACAGCCCAGACAAAAAGTTCACAAGACCCTATCTCAACTAATAGCTGGGTGCAGTGGTGCATGCCTGTCATCCCAGCTATGGTGGAAAGTGTAAAACGGAAGGATTATGGTCCAGGCTGACCTGGGTTAAAAGTAAGACCCTATTTCAAAAGGGCTGGAGGCATGGCTCAAGTTGTAGAGCACTCTCTAGCAAGTGCAAGGCCCTGAGTTCAAAGTCCAGTACGTCCAAAAAATAAAATACCCAAGCATGCTCTTTGTAATAGAAAAAAAAATCCTAGAAGCAATGTCCAACAACAGGTGAGTGGATTAATAACCAGGGGTACAGTCACAAAATGGGATGCTATTCAGCGGCAAAATAATTACAGGTCCACAGGCAACAGACATGTTTTTTAAAAATATAATGCTGTGTAAAAAAGGAAGTCACATAATCATAGAATGATTCTATTTATATAAAGTAAAAAGAAAGCAAAACTAAATAATATACTATTTAGGGATTCACACAACAGTGGTAAAGCTAAAAGCAAGGAAATGACTTGCATGAATCCAGGAAAGCAGTCCCTCAGGACAAGGGAGAGAGGTGGTGATGGCAGGTACTGGCACTGCCTTTGGGTTGTTGTTGTTACTTTAGACAGGGTCTCACTATGAGGCCCAGGCTGGCCTCAAACTTGCAATCCTCCTGTCTCTACCTTCCAAGTGCTGGAATATTGGGATTACAGGTGTGCATGCATCCAGGCCCAGCTCAGCTCACTGACTTCTTAAGTTAGATGACATATATATTTTTTTAATTACTGATATTTTTAAGCTGTACATGTACAATTGTATCTATGGTGTCTTCAACAATAAAAATGTTTGCGTCTCATATAAACAGCGCCCTAAGAGAGCACATGCTTTATTTTTTTTTTGGCGGTACACAAGTTTGAATTCAGGGTCTTGCATTTGCTAAGCTGGTGCTCTACCACTTCAGCCATGCCTCCTATTCCTGGAAACATGCTTTTGATAAGGCAGAGATAATGCAATTAAAGTACCAACACACAATAATAAGCACTGAACTTTGAGAGTTTAGGCTCGCTGGGCCTCAGTTTCCCCATTTGCAAAGTGAGCTGGTGGTACTACAGAGACTATCCACTAGCTTGGTTCTGTGTTCTTTCTCCCTCTCCCAGTCCTCTCCTCTCCCTTTCTCTTGCTTACATATACATGAGCATGTACACACAGACACTAAAGCCAGCTCCCTTTGCCCTGGAGCACTGGTGGCTTCCAAAGTGGCAAAGCAGGCTCTTGATGCACCGGAATGGGAGCTCTTGGTCCTGGGTCCGCCTCTTCCTAGCTGGGAAATTCAGCCTTTTCTGAGCTAATCAAGGGTAACTCTGTTTTCCTCCTCCAAGCCTCTGAGTAGATCCTGTAGAGTGCTTTGCTCATGAAGGGATCATGACGACTGACTGGGAACCTCAAAGCATCCATATGGAAGGGCGGGGCTTCCTCCAGTGGGGGTCAGGTTAAGTTTTGCAGTGTGGGTAACAGTGTTCTATGAACACGCTCACATACTCACCTGGGGGTTGGTGCCAACGTCCCTCCTTACCCTGGTTTTTTGTTTTGTTTTGTTTTGTTGTTTTTCCTCAATCATTGTGCAACTGCGGGTTGAACCGTCTTTCTGTCTTGGGAAGGTACTTATTTCAGAAAAAAAATGTACCTGGCCCTGGGTGTGGCCCCAACTCTGCACGGCAACATATCTGTTCGGTGGCCCAGTCTCAATCTGAAAAGTACCTGCCCGGGTGTATCTGCCTTTATAACTATGGCGCTTCCTCCAACGGTGTGTGAACAAACGTCTCTGGTCCTGATTCATTGCTTGTGCACCTGACACTTTCATCAGGTCGGGGGTACTGGTCAAGTTCCTGAGGCTGGCCCTGTCTTTGTGTCACTCACAGGCACGTGGATCCGTCGGAACCTAACAGGTGCGCATACCTGGCTCAGCCGGTGCCTCCTTACGCGCGGCCGGGAGGACGCACTCTCCTCCGTAGAGTACGCCGGCACCTACGGGAGCTACCGTCAACCCCTGCCCCTGCTCGGGACTGGCCGGGCGCTGGCCGCGGGGGCGGGGCCGGGGCCCCGGAGGGCGGGGCGGGGGGCGGAGCAGGAAAGGGCAGCGGCCGCCGACCCCTTGACCCTCCTTGAGGCGGGCGGCGCGCGGACCGCGGGGGTGGCCGGGGACGGGGTTGGGGGTGGGGCCTATCCGGGGCGGCGGGCGGAGCAGGAAGGGGCGGTGGCCCTGCCCAGCTTCCGCGTCGTGGTCCTTAAAGCACCTGCCCGCCCCCGTCGGTACAAAGGCGCCACCCGCTGGCCCCCGGGACTCGGCCCCATGGAGACGCCGCCGGCCGCGGCTAGCGCTCGGCGGGGTGAGACGCGGCGGGGAGAGCGCGGGCGGCGGGGTCTGGGAGGAGGGGCCTGGGGAGGGTTCCGGTTGTGTCCGACCCCAGCTGAGGGACGTGCGGACGGTGTCCCCCGCCTCGCCGGTCCTCAGGACCCCTGTAACTTAGCCCAAGTGCGCAGAGACCGGGGAGAGGGGGGGCCGAGAGCGCGCGGGTCTCGGGCCGGGACAGTCTCGCGTCACCGGCGCCCGGCAGCCAACCAGAATCTTCCAGCAACTTTTTTCCTCGGTTGGTCACCCCGGAAACTTGGCCTCCTGGGGTCCGGGAGTCCGGCCACTGGGCCCTGCGCGTCCTGGGCCTGGGCGTTGAGTACCAGACAGGCGGACGGGGGTGATGGCCTTAGCAGGGAAGCCCCCGGGCCCGCGACCTCACTTCCAACCCTAGGTTTCCATCTGAGAGCCCCGCCCCTTCCTTCTGTGTCCTAAGTTGGCGTGGGGGTGGGTTTGGAGGTGGAGTTCGACCAGGTCCCAAATTCTTGTATCACTAGTTATCAGGTGGGTGACCTTGAGCTAGTTCTTAGTGCATGTGCCTCAGTTCCTCTTTACATAATGGGAATGATAATCTCGAGCTGAGAGCGCTTTTGAGAGGACAGCCTGAGCTGACATATGACGATGGCTTTGTATAGCGCCACCAGTTCAGTACTGCCTCTCCCTACTGGGCGGGGCTGGCAGGAGAGATGGAAAGAGAGCCACATTCCTGATCCCTAACCCTGTGGTGGTCCATTAGGAGCTGTGACAGGTGCCTTCCGGGAATCCGAGATATGAGTGGCCCCTGTGTGCAGAGGCCCATCCAAGAAGCCAGCCCCACCATGAGTATGTGGGGTCTTGAGGACAGCCGCAGCTGTCGGGGTACCCCCAGGCCAGCCCAGGATTTTGCCACTGAAGAGGCATCAGCTTCAGAGCTGCAGATGAAGATGGATTTCTTCCGGAAGCTGGGGTACTCGTCCTCTGAGATCCACAGTGTCCTGCAGAAGCTGGGGGCCCAGGCAGACACCAACACAGTGCTGGGGGAACTGGTGAAACACAGCTCAGCTGCGGAGCGGGAGCGCCAGGCCTCACCAGACCCCTGCCCTCAGCTCCCTCTGGTGGCCCGGGGTGGGGGTACCCCCAAGGCTCCCACCCTGGAACCTTCACTCCCAGAGGAGGACAAAGGAGGCAGCGATCTGAGGCCGGTGGTCATCGATGGGAGCAATGTGGCCATGAGGTATTTGTCACTTTTGTGAAGAGGATGCATGGAGTGGAGTGGTGGCTGCATACCTCTGTCTTGGTGGCAGAGGGGCCTTCAGGAAGGAGGTTGACCTTTTCCCATGGATGGGTGGATGAGGGAAAGGGAAAGTCCTCCATGTGGTTCTACTGTACATCAGAAGGCTCCCATAAGTCTCAGGACTTCTTTGAAGCAAGTTTTTAGGATGTCATAGGGATGAAAATGGGCTCAAAGCCTTGCTCATTGTCACACTACTGCTAAGTGGTGGAGTGAGGATTCAAACCCAGGTCCTTCTGTTCCTGAGGCCAGCCTTCTCAGTCGCCAGTTCTTGCCTGTAACTGGAGGCTGGATTGTGCCAGGGATTAGTCTGTGGGCTCCAGCTGTCTGTAGAAGCCAGTCATGTGATGCTCTAAACTTCATTGCCTCATTTGTAAGACTGGGTAACCCCCGCCTCAGGTGGTCCTGGAGAGTGAATGCACTGAACCTGGAGAGTCACAAGTGCTCAGTAAACAGTAGTTGTTTTTACTATTCAGGGGCTCTGTCCTCTGAGGCCTTCTTGTCCCAGACCTGGGCTCCATTGAAGCAGACTTAGTTACTGAGATCAGAGCTATGACCAAGTGTGACCTGTTACTGGATCTGGCTCTCCATGTGGGTGGGTGACTGTTACTGGGATCTACACTGATTGAGCTAAAGCTACCTGGACTGGACTGGTCTCTAGGGGCTCCTGGCCCCATACCTGCCCCCCTTCCCCCTCTCCTGGCCCATGCATGTTTCACAGGGAATAGTTTTGTTTGGGTGGGGGCAGAGGATGAGGCCAGGCTATTGCTGACCTTAAGGAGTCCTCACTTCTCCCTTCAATCCAGGCCGCACCCTGCGGCCCTGCTTTCTCCCAATTCCCCACACTGCTGGCTGGTGAGTCAGGACTGGGTGAATCACTTAGAAGGAAAAGTTCCTGTTGGCAGGAACATGGAGAGACCCCAGATACCGGGGGGCAGGAGATGGGGAGGGCTCCTTCCAGGTTGGCCTGAGGGATCTCCCAGGTGGGTTGCTGGAGGTTTTACATCATGGCAAATGTCTGCCTCTTCCCCTGGCATTTTGCCCTGCCTACTCCCAGCCCAACTGGGGCAAGTGAGCTGTCCAGCTGGTCCTGGCCTGGCCCAGCACAGCAGGTGTGTAGATGAGCCTGCTTCCACCCGCTTTGGATCAGTCTTTCTGTCTCTGAAACACTGATCACAGCCTGTGCCTTGAGAATTCAGGGTCTTCTTTCAGTCTCCAGCCTGAGCTGGGCTAGAAGAAGTCTGTGACTTTTTCTGGGCACCAGCCAGTGTGACTGAGCCCTGGGGTGGCCATATAATGTGTGTATTTGTATCCTGATAGAAGGAGGAGGGGACTGGGCAGGAGGAGGGCTGGGGTGCAGGAGCTCAAGGGAGCTGACACTGGGCGGAGAGAGCCTGCAGCCTGCCTGCCTGCCTGCCTGCCCGCCCGCTGGGGGTTTCTCGGCTGGGGCAGTGGCAGGAGGGGAATTCCAGGCTCAGACTTCCTGTCTCAGCTGCTGCTCTATTCCTGCTCTGCTGCCCCCTCCCCCCCGGAGCAGGCAGGCTAGCCCCCACCATATGCAAATCGTGGGGAAATTCACCTCTGTTTCCTTCTAAGGGAATTTTTCTCCACTAGTCTGGCCCAGCCCAGGCAGATCTTTTCACCTGGGGAGCCTGGCCCAGCCCTGCTCTCTGTCCTGGGGCGGGGAACAACCCAGCTGGAGTCTCCCATGTACATATCCCATCAGTCTGGTGGGCCGGGCAGGGGCCCTGACCTTAGAGCAAACAAGAGTCTGGGAGTAGGTGATGTCTGATGTTCCTGAGGCAGCTGGGCTTCCTGCTTTGCAGTGAGCTGAACTAAGTGAGTTGTCTGAGGCACTCCAGGCTTTGGTGTCATTGCTGCTGAGAGCAGACTGTCCCCAGCCAGGGTTTTTAGTGCCCAGAGGCAGTACACACCCTAGGAGCCCTGGCATCCCTTGAAGTCCCAGCCTTGGCATTGCTAGCCCAGGAGGGACATGTTTAGCTATATGAGTGTGTACAGGTGGTGTGTGTGTATGCTGCATACCTGGGACAGAGAGCCAAGCCAGAGATGACCACTCTACCATCTGGGGGAGACAGTAGAGGGCCCATAGGAGGGGACAATGTGATAGGGGCAGGACTGGGTATTGTGAAGACAAAGACCAGAGACTTGACCCATCCTAGCAGGTCAGGGAAGGCTTTTCAAAAGCGGTGAACATGACACCTCACTTGGGTTCCTGAAGGGAGAGCAGTTTGTCAGATGCATGTTTCTTCTCCCTCTCAACACACTTTGTTCAAACTCAAGTTTGGAGAATTTTTTCTTTCAAATAAATTTCAGGTCTGAGCCAGGTGTAGTGTTTCAGGTCTGTAATCCCAGTACTCAGAAGGCTGAGGTGGGAGTATTGTGAGTTCAAGGCCAGCCTGGGCTACATAGAGAGTTCCAGGCCAATCTGGGCTACAGAGTAAGACCCTGTATCAAAAAGCAAAGCAAAACAAAAACCCTTAGGTCTTCTGTGAGGGGCAGGAAAGTAATTCACTCGCCCTGGACCTGGGTTCAATTTCCATCTCTTTACCACTAGCCAGGTGACCTTGGGCAAGTCATGGACCCTTCCTTTTCTTCACTGTAGCAAGCCATGTGAGGATGAAGTGACATGTCTGGCCTCCAGTTTGAGTCAGTACTGCTCTGCCTGCTCTCTCACCATCAGGGTTGGTACCTGTCTGGGTGTCAACAGGGTGGTTATGAGCACTGGCTCTGGGCCCACCCATATCTCTGCTCCATTACTACTGCTGTGTGACCCTAGTGACTAAGTTACCCTTTCTGGGCCACAGTTTCCTCATTTGAAAAAAAGAGGGAAAGGAAAAGCAATGACAGTACTCTCCTCTTAGGCTTGCTGGTGATTCAGTGTTAAGCACTTAGAACAGCAGGTTTGCAGTTCTTGATAAATGTTAACTTATAAGCAGGCTGAGTGATGGGGCATGGGGGCAGTGAGTACTACCTTGGGGCTGGACTTTGTCTCTCCTACAATTTACAGAGACCTTCAGACCCTGGAGCCCCAGGCTTACCCCCACACAGCCTGCATGCCCCTAGCTGCCCTACCTCCCACTCTACCTTCTCTTGGGGCTCCAGCTGTCACCCCCCCACACACAGCAAGCCACAGGATGTGGTCTGCCATGGACTCGCCTCTTTTGCGTAACATTTATTCTGTTTTATTTGCCAAACATGAGAGTCTTGAGTTGCTCACCAAGGGGAGAGGCAGGGCTGCCTGACAGGGAGTCCCCCAGCTCCTGGGCCTCAGGCCAATGGGAAAGTTGCCCACTGATGGGTCTAAGGAAACTGTAGACTGCTGGGCCCATTTTTTCAGGTGGAAAAACAGAGCCAGGGAACCCAGGATCCCCTCAAGGCTGTCTTCTGGGTCCAGACACATTTGGATGACACATGTCCATGCCCAGGCTCTCCTTGCCAGCTAGCATAGTCTCCCAGCAGCTTCCTGGCTATTTTTTCTGCCTCAAGTCACTCCCTCTTTGAGGTGGGATGGGGAGTGAGGAAGGGGCAGGTGTTGTCACAGAGAATTGGCCTCTTGGGAAAAAGAGCTGTACCCTTTCACTTTCACACTGAATGTCTGTCCCACTTCCTGAACCACGTGGATAGGTGGACTCAGCCCCTTCCCTGTGCCCTCTGGGGTCCCAGCCCGAGGCCCAGTGTACGAACTGAACTTTAATCCGGAACAATCTGGTTTCTCTCTGGTTAGCCTGACTGGTGCTTCCCCCGCCCCCACCACAGTGCTGCTGACGATGATGAGTGAGGGAGGGGAGGTGACTCAGACTGTGTGTGCACATCTGTGTCCCTGTGGTCCCAGCAGCTACCAGGCGGGGCAGGAACCCAAAGTCTCCCAGCACCTTCCCCCCACCCTCAGGTGTGTTGCAAGTGGCCTGACCCTCCCCCAGTGTGGGCAGCCAATGCTGCCAGATTCCTGGGTGGATCCACATTTACAGGAGATGGAATCTCAGGGAAAGTCCCACGGCTGGGCTGGCCATCCAGGTGCTGTGAGAGCCAGCCCAGGGAACCAGGCCTCAGGCCCACTGGCCATAGGCCATGGACTGAGCCCTCAGGCAGCTCAGCAAAGCCAGCCAGGGACTGGAGTGAGACCCACCTCCCATTCCTGCTCAGACCCTAGTGACAGCAGGCTGATGGCTTTCCTGGGCTGATCTGTGCCTGCTTTCCCTCACAGCCATGGGAACAAGGAGGTCTTCTCCTGCCGGGGCATTCTGCTGGCCGTGAACTGGTTCCTGGAGCGGGGTCACACTGACATCACAGTGTTCGTACCATCTTGGAGGAAGGAGCAGCCACGGCCTGAAGTGCCCATCACAGGTGTGTGGGCCCTCTGGAATAGGGTGGTCTCATACCCCAGGGGCTCTACTCCCCAAGACAGCCTTTGGACAGGGCCAGTAACTTCTAGACTTCAAGCAGCAAGCAGCATGCCTTTTCCCAGTGTTTCCCTTAGCAGCCCTCCCTGAACAGCAGCCATTAGAAAATCACCTTGTCCACCCTCTGCCTCAGGTCCTTGCACTTCCCTCATCCTCCTTATGGTCTATCACTCTGTCAGCGTCCCCAGTGGCACAGAGGAAGTATAGCTTACCAGTTAAGGCCCTGGGCACTGGACCAAGACAGCCAGGGCTAGAATCCTGGCTCTGAGAGACAAAGACCTTGATTAGCCCCACTCAGAAGCTCTTGCTCCTCACGTGTAAAATGGGTGGCATGGAGGTTTGGTGCCAGCGTTCCTCACAGAGCTGCTGAGTGGGGATGTGTGTTAGTCTGTAAGTGCTTAGGAGAATGCCTGGCCTGGGGTAAGTGCTCAGTATGCACCAGTTGTTACCATTACCCTCACAAGAGCCCCTTGGGGGCTCTTTTCTCTTTTTCCAGACTTCATTTCTCTAGAAGTCTGGAGATGTGGGAGCAGGCTGGCTGGGGCTGCAGGCTCCAGGAAGAGCTGGCCTTTCCAAACAGGAGCTAGTATATAGCCTCATCCTGCCTGCACAAGGAACATAGCCAATATACTTCTTCATGGACCCCTGCAGGATAGCCTGGGTGAACAGCCAAAGCCAAGACTACCTCTGGCTTGAACAGCCCAAAGTCACAGAGCGGGAGCAACAGAAGGGCTAGCTCTGCACTCAGAGTTCTGGCCAAGCAGGACAGTCCTGGGCACAGGTGTTCTGGGTCTTCAAGCAGCATGCCCAGGGCAGCGAACTGGGCACAGCTGGTTTCTGCCCTTGTGAATTTGGTGTTAACAGCCCCTAAGCCTAGGTGCCAAGAGCTTAAGGCAGCCCTGTGGACCTGACTCTGGGTCCCCACTGGGCCCTGACTTACTCCATCACCCTACTCTCCTCAGACCAGCACATCCTGCGGGAACTGGAGAAGAAGAAGATCCTGGTGTTCACACCATCTCGGCGCGTGGGTGGCAAGAGAGTAGTGTGCTACGATGACCGCTTCATTGTGAAGCTGGCCTTCCAGTCCGACGGTGTTGTGGTCTCCAACGACACATACCGGGACCTCCAGGCCGAGCGGCAGGAGTGGAAGCGCTTTATCGAGGAGCGACTGCTCATGTACTCCTTCGTCAATGACAAGTATGCTCCCACCCCTTGGGCCCATGGCCATGGAACCACACACAGGCTGGGCTGCAGGTACCTTTGGGAGTGAGATGGACAGCAGAGCCCCAAGCTAGAACCTGGTGGGCCAAGGCTTTTTGATTTGGGGGTGGAGTGCAGAGATAGGCTGCACTCAGTTCCAAGACAGCTCTCCAGCTGCCCACGCTGCTTCTCAAGCAGAGGCTAGGGCAGCAATGAGGCCTGAGATACAATCAGGTTTTGGCCTTCTGATGACCTCTGAGAGCTCCCAGCCTGGAAGGTGCCCCTGGACTGTGGTCCTCTGGATTGGGCATTCCTCTCCTCCCGTGGACTCTAGATACCAGAACTCAAGCACCAGTTTTAGGGCTACTCTCCTGTTCTTCCCAGCAAGCCTGGCTGTCCATCCCTGTCATCGACATATGGAAATTCCCATGCGTCTCCTACCTACTGAGAGGTTTCTTTTGCCCTCTCCAGGTTCATGCCCCCTGATGATCCCTTGGGCCGGCATGGGCCCAGCCTAGACAACTTCCTGCGTAAGAAGCCACTCCCTTCCGAGCACAGGAAGCAGCCATGTCCCTATGGTAAGATTCAGCTCTGCCCTTGTAGTCCTCATCTCTGCCCCTCTACTCACCTAAGCCTGCCTGCGCCCCAGCTGCTTACTTGGGACCACCACCCTGGGAACACCCAGCCCCAAGTTCCCATGCCTCCCTGTCTTTCGTTCCCTGCTCATCATCCCTCTTCATTCCTCTTGCAGGGAAGAAATGTACCTATGGGATCAAGTGCCGATTCTTCCATCCAGAGAGGCCAAGCCGCCCCCAGCGCCCTGTGGCTGACGAGCTCCGAGCCAATGCCCTCCTTTCACCCCCCAGGACCCCAGGCAAGGACAAAAGTGTCCAGCGATCTTCACCTGCCCCTCAGTCTGCCTCTGTGCCCCCAGAGGGTGAGCAGAGCAGCCTGGATGGAAAGAAGCTGGGGACTCAGGCATCTCCACGGCCCCACCAGGAGGGCCTGACACAGACCTTTGGCCCAGTGGGCAGGAGCCTCCCACTTAGTGGGGGCAGTAGTGGCACTTTCGGGCCCACAGACTGGCTCCCACAGACCCTGGACTCACTCCCATACACCTCCCAGGACTGCCTGGATTCAGGCATTGGCTCCCTGGAGAGCCAGATGTCGGAATTGTGGGGGATCCGAGGAGGTGGCTCTGGTGAGTGGGGTCCACCTCGGGGCCCTTACCCTAGCTACAGTGCTTATGGATCTGAGCTCCCTGCCGCTCCTGTCTTCCCTGCCTTTGGAGGTGCCATAGGTACTGGCCACTTTAGTGTCCCTGCTGACTACACACCCCCACCACCTGCCTTTCCACCTAGAGAGTATTGGTCTGAGCCATACCCACTGCCCCCACCCACCCCAGTCCTTCAGGAGCCCCAGGTGCCCAGCCCAGGGACTGGAGGGGCCCCCTGGGGCAGGGCAGGTAGCCTAGCCAAGGAGCAGGCCAGCGTGTACACCAAGCTGTGTGGCGTCTTCCCCCCACACCTGGTGGAGGCTGTGATGGCACGCTTTCCGCAGCTCCTGGACCCCCAGCAGCTGGCTGCCAAGATCCTCTCCTATAAATCCCAGCACCTCAGTGAGTGAGCCAGTGTGTGGCCCGTGGTCCACAACAGGGGAGGGAAGGGAACCCCAAACCAAAGATACCATAGGATTGGTTCTGGCCCCCATGGCACCTCGAGCTGCTGATCGTGTGGGTCAGAAACGATCACCCTGTTGATACACATTGTATCTCTGTCATTTAAGGAGACGCCGGTCAGGCCGTCAGTCCGTGGCTGAGGCCCAAACCCTCTTTTTTCTCAGAGGGTGGGGAGGGAGGCCTGGGGGGAGCAAGAGGCCCAGGTAGGGGCCCTGTGCTCGGCCCCTACTCCACCCCGCCCCTGGGATGCCGGTGCTGCCGGCTAGTTGGGCACCATGTGCCTGCCCTCAAGGCCCTCCTCTAAGCCAATGTGGCCTCATCCCTGCTCTTGCGGGGCATGAGGCTTCATGTTAGTAAGCAAGATGCTTTTTAATAACCCATCTCCACCCCCTCAGTTCACCCATCCCATTGACCCTGCCAGGGGTCCAGGGCCTTTTGTCCCCACCCTCTGTTCCTTGTCCTTCCCCAAAGGTGGGGGGACATGTATGCTGCTTACAGGTAGAAATTTTAAATATTTTAAGTGGAAAGTCCTTACTCCCTGTAAGGCATCAATAAAGAACAATATAAGCCCTTTTAAGAGGTCTTAGTCTTTGTTATGGTGGGGGAAACGGGAAGGAGGAAGCAGGTGTATGAAGCTAACCTTGGGTAATGGGAGACAGGCCATCCCTGACCTGCCTTCACCTGGGGAAGTGCTCCCTGCCACTCCTGTCCTCTAGAAGGAGGGTCTCTAGGAGTGCCCTGTCCTTTAGGGCTGGGGCTTCTTTCCTGAAGCCTTGGGCTGGCTTTGATATGAGGAAGTGGTGATGGACACACAGGCAGGGGACAGGGGAGCAGGGGTGGCCATAAGCAAAAAGGTAAAGACCTGGAATCCTGAAGCTGCAGCATTCGAGGGTGGGGCAGGATTGTGCTGTTCCCCCGCTCTGTGCTGACCAGAGCTGAGGATCAGAAACAACCTGGCAGAGATGGTGGCTTCTAGGGGAGATTGGAGTGGTATGGGGGAGCCCTTGGGTGCCCTACTCTGGTCCCTCCCAGATAGTGTTGTGTCCTAGAACCAGGGCCACACAGCGGGAGCAGCAGCCTGGGAAGGGAATGCCAGAGGGCCTTCTAGCAGGCTAGAGGCCCTGGTCACATCTCAAGAACAGGTTCTGCCACAAATTGCCACCTGGAGCAAGGGACTGGGCCTCAGTTTCCTCACCTATGAAACGGGGATAATGGTACCTACCTTGTAGGGTTATCATGAGGAGTCCATGAGATAATACATGCTAGGTGTGGACCTGATGCCCGCCACACAGGGATTGCTCATTAGACCTCAGGTATGACTCCTGTGGGCTGTGCTCACAGGGCTGACCTCCCTTTACCTTGTCAGAGTGTTTATCTGACCCTAGAAGCAGAGAGGCAAGCAGGTGCATGTGTGAGTGTCAGTTGAACAAATGGATGTGAATGTTAAGTATTTTAAGTAAAAAGCTGGGCTCTCAGATGATCCCCAAACAAAAACTATCAGCCAGGGAAAATGAAAAAAAAAAAAAATACAGCTTTAATAATCACTCTCTTTGAACATCTCACCTGATTTGTACTTACTGTTGGTATTTTCTGTTTTGGAAAATGCGACAGCACCGAACAGCTGTGCAGCTTGCAGTAGTGCTATTCCACCGGCACCCCTGCATGCACTCTTTAGAAGCACATGCTTAAGGCGGGGATCGGGGTGCCATGGAAATGACTCTGGCAACCATTAACCCACAAGGCATTCTTCGAGGAGCCCCACGCCTGTTGCTTCCAGCTGCCTCAGTTTCTATCTGCACATAGATATGTACTTGCCTTCTTTTATGTGCTAGTTTTTCCAATCAAGAACTGTATTCCAGATTAAAAGGCTATTTATGGGCCTCTGTTTGTTTTTATGGGACAGGAAGCTAAAATACTGGACTGTCCGGTTCATTATCAGCCAGTTGGTAATGCTGAATGACTTGCCCAAGGTCCCAAGGAGGAGGCTAGGCTAAGACACCCTGAGTTCTTCTAGTCACTTGGACCTCAAACCTGAGGAAGGATAGCCACTCAGGCCCCTGAAGGGATGGGAAGATGGGGATGCCCTCAGCCCCCTCATAGCCCTCTGAGGTTGACAACATTCACACTGGGCCCCCCAACACAGAAGCTCAGGTGCAGGCCCTATAGCCCCATATACCAAGGCCCCTCCATCACACCCTGCTGGGGCTTGGAGGCCATGAAGCTTAGGGGTGCCCTAGGAGAGGCAGGGCGCTCTCTCACTTGCTTATATTTGGGGGGCAGTACTGTGGATTAAACTCAGGGCCTTGTGCTTGTTAGGCAGGCCCTCTACCTCAAGTCACACTCCCAGCCCTTTATACTTGCTTTTTAAATTTTTTTTCCAAGATACTTTATTTTCAAAACTGATCACAACAGGAAACTTTTGGCCAATCCTGCCAGCGCACAGGACACAGATGCTTGCTTAGCAGCTGAGAGACACACTTTCGTTGTGTGCTTGAAAAGTCAGACTTGCAGTCTGACCAGAGCTGCATTTGGTCATTTGCTGCTTCTGCTTCTTTGGGTGTTGGGGACACCATGTGATTCTACAGGCTGATGGGCAACAGCCTTAGTCCCAGGGGCTGTGTCTAATGTCAGGAGGCCCTGCCTAGCCCTACTGGTTCATGGTTAGGCACTGGCAAGGAATTAGGGAGACCATGCAGCAGATCCCACCTAGGGCTGGGTCCTGAGAAGGGTCAAATCAGTTCAGTACCTCTGATGACTTACACTGGCATCTCTCGCTTTCCCAACAGGCTCAGCCTGGTTGATCCAGCCAGCCAGGGTTCAAAAACTCCCTTCCAGGCCTCTTTCCCAATCTGGCTTCCAGGCAGAGGTACTCAGAGGCTGCCAGGCCCAATGCCAAGGCCAGTTTTTTCCCATGACTTGGGCTTTGACTCCCAAAGTCCTCCTTAGTACCTCCTGCCCACTGCTCACTCAAGCAGTTTAGTTAGGTGACATTTACTCACAGGACCTCTGTCTCTCCGCCTGTGAAAAGGACACAGTGTTCAATGCCTCTAGATTTGACAAGAAAATATGTCTGCTGGCCACTGGTGGCTCACACCTGTAATTCTAGCTACTTGGGAGGCTGAGATGGGGAGGATCAAGGTTTGAGGCCGGGAAAACAGTTCAAGAGACCCCATCTCCAAAATAACCAGAGCAAAATGGACTGGAGGAGTGACTTAAAGTGGTAGAATGCCTGCTTTGCAAGCATCCCACCAAAAAAAAAAAAAAGATTACCTCAGTTCAAGTGGGGGCAGCAGGAGGGGACAGAAGCCTGGGTTTGAGCCCTGCTACCTACCTGTGTAGTCCTGGGCAACTCAACAGCCCCTCCCAGGGCTCAGCTGCCTGGCCCATAGCAGCTACACGTGAGCTTCAAGGAAGAGGGTGGCAGAGATGGAATGTGACTGCTGAGACCAAAGCTCAAACCACTGAGGCATGCTGGAAGGGATCAAATTCCAAGTAGCTGCCCACTTGCTCTTTCCTCATCCTTTTCCTGGTTCCAGGAGCCAAGAAGCTGATGGAGAAACCAGAGTATGCAAATTCATACACTGTTGGGAAATGAGCCTGGGAAGCCACTGAGGACAGCCACCTTTCCTCAGGGGTTGGCCCTGAGTTTTCGTGCACATTCTGTCTGGCAAGGGTTAACCTCACTTGGAGCAGACTGCTCGGAAGTCAGTCTGACTGCGTGCGGCCTATCTTTTGCCTGCAGCCTGTCTCCCTGGCAGACTAATCCAGCCCACAATGGGTTCTGCGCACTCAGTCCCCTCTCCACTTGTCCAGTTGGGTCCCTAATCTAAGAGCAGGAGAGCTGGGACTCCAGGGGAACAGCTCTCCCAGGTCCTCCAAATATTGTTAGGCTCCTGAAAAGGGCAAGCACCTCATCAGCAAAGTTCCCTGCCCTTCCCTCGCCCCAGGAAAAGCCTGCATAGAAGCACAAGCCCCCTGCCCTGAGTAGGGTGCTGAGCAGGCCTTATCAGAGACAGCAAGGGAGAAAACAGGAGTATAGGGAAGGCAGTAGGACCATCAGTCTGAGTCCTGCCAGAAAGAAGGCAGCCCAAGACCCCGGGCACTTCTGCCCCAGGCTTATCAAGCCCCTGGCTCATCCTGCTTTCCTAGCCCATAGCAGAACGGGTGGAGCAGAAGTGACGGGAGCTTGTTCCAGGGACCTCCCAGTTCATGGGAAGGGTGTGGGAGATTTGGCTGAAAGAGGCAGGAAGTTGGGTCCTGCAATTAAGGAAACTCAAGCCATCCCAGGCCCTGGCATGTAAACCCTTCCAGCTAGTTCCTGGAGGTGGAGGTGGCCCAGGCTGCCACCTAGGGCGTGGCCTCTTGAAGCTGCTTCCAAGGCAGCTGCTGGTGATCTTAAACTGCTCATCAAATTAAGAACTGGCAGCAAGACTAGGTAGGAGGAATGGCCCAGGCACCAGAGCCCACACCCACACTAAGCTGGGCCTGCTGCTGGGAGGCCAAGCTTGGATTCTGGCTGCTCTCCACAGGCTTGCTACAGGAGCCAAGGGCCCTGCCTGCCACCTGCTGGCGCTTCCTGGTACTGCGTCCTAGGAGGCAAGGGCCCACGTAGTGGCTACTAGAAGCAGCATGGGTCTGGAAAGATGGGCCTTGGAGACTAGGGCCACGAACAATATGGAAAACAAAGTGCTCAGACAAAGGCAGGGAATGTTCAATGGCACTTATAGTTCCACTATGGAAAGCAACACCAGAGGTAACTGTCAAGGGTTGGGGGTGTGGCTCAGTGGTAGAGCTCTTGCCTGCAAGGTCAAGACCCTGGGTTCAATAACTAGCACCACCAAAAAAACAAAAACACCTCAGGAACCTGGAGGAATAGTCCAGAAAGGAAAAGGAGAAAAATGCAGTTATTCACACTTAATAAAATCACAATGAGATGCCACTGTTTTGACCCTGTTATTTTGGAACTATCCGAAGGCAGCTGAGGGGAACAGTGTGGGGGAAACAAGCAACACTGGAGGGAGACCTGGAGCTGGAAGTTTCCTAAAATGCACACACCCCCTTGATTCAGCAATCCCACTGCTATGAATGTGTATCTCTTGGGCACTTATCTGCACAATGATGTGTATAAGGCTATTCTCCGTAAGACAGTCTGAAACAGCAAAAGATAGGAAATAACACCAGTAGAGTACTGGGTGGGGCATGGTAATGAACACCTTTAATCCCAGCACGTGGGAGGTGGAGGCAGGAAGATCTTGAGTTAAGACTAGCAACACCAGAGGGAGAGGTATATAGTGAGACCACCTCAAAAAGAAAAAAAAGAGCACTGGTTAAATTCTGGTATACAAATGCAATGGATTATTAAGGAGCCAATACAAATGAACTCTGTATTTGGAATATTTTCTAAGCTAGTTTGCTAGATGAAAAAAGGGTGAACAGTGTGCAGTATGCTACCATCTTTGCAAACAGACACGTATAACATGTGTGCACTGTTCACACATGTGCAAATCTCCCGTGGAAGGGATTCAGACATTCAGGGTTCTCTCTGGGAGAAACTGGTGACTGAGGGACTGGAGGACTCGCTTTTCACTGAATGCACTTCAGTACCATTTTAACCTATGCTATTTGCATATTGCTTTGGTTTGAATGTTTATGTTCCCCTGTCAAAACTCTAACTGGGTTGGACTGGGGCTGCAGCTCAAGTGGTAGAGTGCTTGCCTATGACAGGCCCAAAGTTCAAACCCCAGTACCACCAAAAAAACCATAACAAACCCTCTAGCCCCCAGGATGATGGCAGTAAGAGGGGAGGCTTTTGGAGGGCAGAGTTCTCCTGAGTGGTATCAGTGCCTTGGTCCTTCCACCTTGGCAGGATGCAGCAAAGACACCCTCTATGAACCAAGAATCCACTTCACAAGACAATGGATCTGCTGGGGCCTTGGCCTTAACTTCCTAGTCTCACAGCTACTAGAAATGTCTTATTTGTAAGTCATCTAGTTCATGTTGGTTTCTTCTTCTTCTTCTTTTTTTTTTTTTTGGTGGTACTGGGGTTGGAACTCAGAGACTTGCACTTGCTAGGCAGGCAATCTACCACTCGAACCATGCCTCCAGCCCTATGCTGTTTTTATTACAGCAGCCTGAACAGACTAAGACACATATATTCAAATTAAGACACATTTTAAATGCCCTCTTCTCTTCTGGAATAGGTGTGCAGCCGGGGAAAGCTGTATTGGCCAGGGGTCTCCAAAGTGTATTTTTGTACATGAACAGTAAAAACTCATGAATACACACACCTCCAACATGTATGTGTTGTTAAACCATAATAACTGCTGCTTTTATAAAAGTGATTTGAATATCAGCAACTTCTAGTGATTCAACCTAATATTTATTTATAAGTTATCTACATGTATAATGAACTGAATACTATACAACACATTCAAGGTGAGGCTAAGTCCAAAAGAGAAAACACATGAAAGGGCTAATCTTTCCTTCCCACACCCTAAGCCATCGCACACCCTCCCTCAGGCTTCTGTGGCGAGCACAGCCCAGAAAACTCCAGCATGGCACGTAAGTGGTGACAACTCCTACTCCACAGTGAAAACTTGGTTTCAGACCATGAAGCTTAGCGCTTACAAGATGTGGACAGGGCAGCTCGTTTAGACTGACACAGGAATGCAATTCCAATCCTTTCTTCTCATGTGCACCACCCTCCAGGCACTCACTATGACCCCATGCTGGGAGAAGTCAATGAGAACATTAAGCATTCCTGCCAAAGCATGACTCAGCTTCAGATGGGAATTTTTATGTGTGATAATGCCTCAGTAATTTGGAGTAAAGTTGAGGGGCAGAAAAGTCAGAATAAAAGCAAAAACTAAGTCAAAGAGAGCTTCAAAAAAACAACATACGTAACTACAGCTAAGCATAGGCTATTTAACACTAGCTTTAATTCTATGTCCAGATGGGTCAAGATGTCAAGACTGTTCTCTAAACCAGGGATGGTGGTACATGCCTGTAATCCCAGCTACTTGGGGAGGTGGAGGCAGGAGGATCTTGAGTTTACCCCAGCCTGGACAAAGTTAGCAAAGACCCTCTCTCAAAACAACATAAAAACAAAAGGGCTGGAGGTGCAGCTCAAGTGGTACACAAGCAGGAAGCCCTGGATTCAATCCTCAGGACCTCAAAAAAAAAAAAAAAAAACCACCTCTCTACACAGAACTTATTTACAACACCTAGCATCCAAAGATTCAAGTATTGATATGGAAATATCCTGATGCCTGCTTCCTATGCTTTCAGAACAAAGGATTTTCTTCTAAAAACACAACAGTCTAAACTCAATTATGAGAACTATTTAACCTATATAAGGATGGATGGATTTCTTACAGTACTCCGAAGCCCCTGAAACCTGTGGCCTCTCCAGGTCAGTACAGCAGCTTTGAAGCCTTCACTCTCGGCCCACACAGGCCATGCCCAAATTCACAAGCTTCCATGCAGTCCCTCCCCTAAACCTCAAATGCTTCCACGCTTTTACTTTGTGGGTTGCTCCTGCTCTCCACATTCACCTTGTAAAGTCTGATGGTGGTTAGAACTTTTGAATTTAAATCAAATGAACTTCCTCAGTCCTGGGAAGAGTACACTTGAAACCTCCATGACATGAAGATTTTACAACATCCTCCCTGTATAAGACAAAAATGGTAGTTACCACAAGTGCTTGGGCTTTTTTCTTTTTTTAAAAATGTCTTATAACTATCAAAAGGAGCAGAGGATGACTTCTTCCCATGTTAAACAAAAAGGATAAATATGGAAAAACAAATGTATCCAGATGGCAGAAGTAAATGAGTCTGGCCACTCTTGTGCTCCCATTCCCTTTGCCCCTCTGGATTAGGAGAAGGGAAAGAAGGAAAAACACAAGAGCCAGCTTCTTCATTAACAGCTCTAGGTTTTGTTTGTTTGTGTTTGTGTTTTTGTTTTTGTTTTTTGAGATACTAGAGATTGAAGTCAAGGCCTGCCGAGCACTACAGCACTTGAGCCACACCCCTGACCCGTGTGAGTTTTAATTTGGTTTTCAGTTAGGGCCTCTGTCTTCACACCCTGCCTCCAGCTCTAGTTCCTTAAACCAGCCTGGTTTCTATCCCTGCAATGTACAGCACGGTACTGTTCCAAAAGCAAGTCCAGAAGAAAGCCCCTCCGCAGGGACCCTAGCAGGCTGAGGTGGGAGGATGAGCCACCTCCACTGAGATTAATGTCCCTGTGGGTAAGCACATTTGTTCTTTTGATCAGTAACTTCATAAAAGTTCTTACCTTGCTAGCAAGTGACAGAGCACCTGCCTAGCAAGCGTGAGGTCCTGAGTTCAAACCACAGTGTCACCAAAAAAAAAAAAAAAAAAAAAAAACACCTTAAAAGTTCTTACCTTAAAATCAAGCAAACTTAGTTGATAACCAAGTTATCAAAAGCATGGTACATGGTAGGCTGGTAGGTAAGGAACCCTTTGTGCTTTTTTTTTTTTTTTTTTTTTTTTTTGCAATACTGAGGTTTGAACTCAGGGCCTTGTGCTAGCTAGGCAGATGCTCTACCACTTGAGCCATGCCCCAGTCCCACCTTGGTGCCTTTTTCTAAAGCATCCTATGTAGGAAACTGAGCAATTGCTCAGACTAACTATTTCCAGTATCCCTTGCCAACTTATAGGAAAACTGGAAGGCCCTCTAATCAATGATCAAACCTTACAGAGAAAGTAAGCATAAAGCAAGTAATCTGTCTCTATGATTTTATAATCACATACATCAACATGATTTTAAATAATACACCTTTAGGGCTGGAGGCCTGACTCAAGCAAATAGAGTGCTTATCTAGCAAGCATGAAGGCCCTGAGTTCAAACCCAGTACTGCCCAAAAAAAAGAAAGGCTTTTAAGGGCTGGGTGTATGGCTCAGTGATAGAGCACTTGCCTAGCACAAGCAAGGCCCTGGGTTTGCTCCCAAGCATGAATGAATGAATAAGTAAATGAATAAATAAAAATACATCTTCTAAAGAGCAGTAGTATTGTACCTCTAGCAAATGCTAAGTCATGTGAGTCTGAGATGTTTTAAAGTCTGCTGTATACCTTCCTCTGTGTATACCTGCTATATACACAGGAACCGCAATCCTCCTTCCCAGAAAAGGAGACAAACTGAGAAGGATACAGAATGCTTTTGGGGTTTCTTTTTCCTGTTTCACTTTGTAGCCCAAACTAACCTTGAACTTATGAGCCTCTTGCCTCAGCTGGTTTGTGTTTGTTTTAAAGAAACAATCTAAACATAAGAAACTACTTCCTCAGAAACCCTAACACTGGAGATCTGCTACCAAAGACATTTAACTAGTCAAAACAAGGGGAGGGAAGACAGGATGTGGTGGCTCATGTCTATAATCCCAGCTATGTGGGAGACCCTAGGTAGGAAGACCTTGGTTTGAGGCTGGCCTGAGGCAAAAAACTTGAAGTGCTACCTAAAAATAACTAAAGCAAAAAAGGTGGCTCCAGTGACAGAGCAACTGCTTAGCAAGTTAGCTGAGTTCAAACCCAACTACTACCAAACCAAACCAAACCAAACACATTTATGTGAGAACAAGAGTGAAAGCTTTGCACAACCGACAAGGCAGACTTGGTCTGAATATGCCATCCATATTCAGCTGCAGCAACTGATCACAAGAGGCCAATTTCTTCTTACCATGACTAAATCCAGTCAAAGGAAAGGCCAGGCGTCAAATCTTGTTAGACTAATTCATAGCACAGGACTCAAAATCAAATCATCCAGTCTCCTAATGCAGTGGATCTCAACTGGGGTCCTAGTCAGCACCCTAAGGACTCTGTGAAAGGAAATCTCAATATGGATGCTGTATCCTAGCACTTTGTTAGGCTTGACTACAATGTGCAGCCAAGGTCACTGCACTAGAGACAGGTAACAATCATCAGTCAAGTTCCTCAGCCCCGGACCCCCTGTCCCTTGGGCAACACTGGCTCTAACACTACCTTTCACTCTGCTCAAAAACACCTTATTTTGGTTTAATTTTTTTAATTGTTATTTTGGTGTAATTTTGAGCCTTTCCATTGCCTTGGAGATTTTTAGAGTAATATTTAATTAGGTGAATACCAACAAAAAGAGAAAAGATGATGGAAAAAGAAAGAAAATTTCCATAAGGCATGGGATGAATAAATAAAGTGGGGGGGAAAAAATCTCAGGTTTAAAACTAAAGTATGAGAACTAAGGCCTGTGAAATTTTATTTATACAAAAAATAAAAATATCTATTTTAAAAGGATGGATTTAAACTCATGGTTTTCAGTTTTTCTGTTCCTTGAACATGAAACTGCTTCTAAACCAGAAAGATTTACGATAGATAATTATTAAATAAACACTCTTTACCTTCCCCCTGCACAAAAACCCAGAGAGTCAAGTTTCCCATTATGCTATGGTAAACCACATTATTTTCAGTTAAGAATATAGGCAAATACATGAAACAGATTATCAGGTATGTCATCAGGAAGGCCTGAGCTATACAAAAGTATTACAAAAAGTCCCAAAAGAAAGTAAGATGGTAAAAACAACAATAGAAAAATAATAACGCACAAAACAAAACAAGAGAATGCCAGATATTTACAGCCTCCATTTGAAATGTGACTTGTGTTGTACTTTCAGCACACAACAAAACCAGAGAACACTTCTCAATAGGGATCACAAATGGAGCTGGTGCCAGCCAGTTTGGGGTGAGACATTCATTATGGAGAAATTCAGAGTCAGCAACTTGCTGGGATTATAATCATGTATTGGTCTTCCTGCAGTTCTGCTACTAAAAATGACACAAAGCAAATGATCCCATATCTTACAGAAATGACTTGTTTGTCACCACATGTAGAATAAACTACTCAAGAGTCACAGGCACTGGGTCTGGGAGCAGAAGTGGATGGCCACGAACTCAGGTGAGGGACGTTTATCTCTGTGAGGTCGGAGAGGGAAGCGGGGCTCTACAGCCTGGAAGCTTGTGCACTAGTGAGTCTTCTAATAGTCCTAAAGAGAAAGGAAAAAAAGTCCCAACTTACTCTCAGCAGAACTTTGCTTTGACTCTAAGGGGAAAAAAAAAAATCTCATAAATTGTGCTAGGGACTGTTCTGCAGCTGAAGATTCTAGCTTTACCATATTTCACACCTGAAAATGGCCTGTCTTCTGCATCCATAAAAGAACATCAACTCAGACGTCAATTCTGCTCTTGCTAAACCAACTGGCTAGTTCAAAACAAAACAGGAGCTAGCATCAAATATTTATTATATAATCACAGGAATTTTTCTTCAATAAAAATGTGTGTGATCTCTTTCAAAAACAAACAAACAAACAGTAAATAACACCATATGGACACCCTGGACTGAACTTTAAAACACTCAAACTCTGAAGTCAATATACTTTTCTAACCATATTCAGAAGTGACAGCCTCTGGGCTGGGAATGTGGCTCAGTGGGAAAACACTCACCTAGCATGCAAGAAGCCCTAGGTTCAATTCCCAGCACTGCCAAAACATTTTTTTAAATAAAAATTAAAAAAAAAAAAAAGAGAGCCTCCCTGAGTTGTCTGGCTGATACTTACAGCTCGTGGTTTTTTGTTTAACTTCAGATCAATCCTGTGAAAGGAAAAATAAAGGACTTTTGCATTTTAATTTACAAAAAAAGGGTCCAACAATCAGCTACTGCATAAGGCACAGCTATCATAAAGGCTGTTTGGTTAAACCAGGTCCGCACTCTGCATTAGACTACGTCATACTCAGTTGTTCACCCAGATGTTATCAAGCATGTATGAAAATACAAGCAGAGACTTTGCCATAAGGCAAACTTGGATGACTTGAAAAGAAATGTAAAGTAGTTACAAAAGGCATATAATTTAAAAAATTATTCCAAAATTACATATTAATGAGATTGGATTAAGAAGGCATGCTCTATGTTAATGTGTTAGCTCTGTAACTATATCACTGAACATTACTAGACATATGGTGATTAACAACAGGAAAGAGACTAGGGTTTTGTATTTCTGGATATGAAACACAAAAGAAATTATATAAACATCAATTTTTAAATCTTTTCAAAGCAAAATAGCAAAATCTTAAGCTATTAATCTCCTTATGAAAGCAAAGCCAGGAAATCAATTTAAATATGAATTAAAAGTAAAGGTTATCTATTTTAAAAGAAATTAATATGCATAAAAGTGAAGTTTACTTAATTTTGCTTAAGTTATTAAATAAAATGTTACCTCCATCACGTTTTTCTGTTTTTAAAAAAAACTTCCCAGCCTAACCTAATATACATACCTACAATTAAACAGATAAACTATGGGTTAGAAAGGTCTCAAAAAGGCATACTGATGTCTACACACTAAACAACACAGCACAAATACTAATGCAAATCAAACTTACTCAAAGTCATAATCAAACATGCCAGACGGGCTGAGGGCCAGCATTTGAAAGGAAGAAAGCAATAGAAATTAATACACTAATTGGATACATTAGTCGATTAGCCATCTTAGCAAGATTTGTGGAAACAAAATCATCTTTAAAAATCTTAAGCCATAAAGTTTCAAATATCAAAGCACCAAAGATATGTGGTCAGGAGATTCCCTTCCCTCAATGGATTCCATAGCAGAAAAATAGACTAAGAAAGGAAAAGTTATTTCATTAGAAAACTAGACACCTAGAGCCCTTTATTAGCTGCCAGGCTCAGAGTTAGAGCTTTTAAAATACTTATACTGAAAAATATAATTAGGGCATTAGAAGAAACAGAAAGGAAAGTTTAGTCATATAATGAAAGGCTTATATAACAACTCTGCATAACATACGTTCACTAAGACAGAAGACAAAAGTACTTTAAACGGTGAAAAAAGGGCAAACATTTTGCAATTTTTTGCTCAAGCTCTAGGTTCTACACACTCCCAGGAACACGGTGCTCCTCCACCACAGCAGTCATCCTAGAACCCCAGGGGCCAATGAGGACACTTCAGCGGTCTTGTTCCAGAAACTGAAGAGAAACACTACTCTGCCTCCAAATTCGGTGCTGCTCTGTTCTATTAGAGCAACACTTAGGGAAAACCACAGTCTGCAGAGCCCCTGTGAAGACAAAGGAAAGCTGGCATCCACAAGTACCAGGCCCAGAGGGTCTGAGGGGAGCACACAGAGGACACCATTTTGCATGGACATTACTAACAGTACAGGGTCTGGGCAGAGCTCCAAGGCAAACATTAACCCAAAGCTTGACACCAGCCCCTTGCTGGCTCGAGCCTTCCAGACTGTAGACAGGTGATAATATGCGAATGGCTACATTTTCCTCCTGGGCAATGTTTGCAAAAGTTGGAAGAAAGTGAACTTCAACACCCTTATGCAATAGTTTCAGTTATGATATTTGGGAAAGTATATATTATGTGTACAAACAAGAAATTTTAAAACATTTTACTTTCAGACATCTGACCTTGTTCACAAATTAAAACAGACTATACCAACTAGGGGTGAAGTTCACCGGTAGAGGACCTGGGTTCAATTCCTAGCACTGCAAATAAGTAAATAAACAAGAGTGTACCTAGTTAGTCAAAACATGTGTTTGATACAGGGCATGGCAGTGCTATAATTCTAGCACTTGGAAGACTAAGGCAGAAGAATTTTGAGTTCAAGACCAGCCTGGGCTATACAGTGAGATCCTGTCTCGAGGGGGAAAAAAAAAGAAAACTTCAAGTGCAAGGCCCTGAGTTCAAACCCTAATACACCAAAAAAAAAAAAAAAAAACCACAAAACTTGGGTTTGATATAGCAGTAAAAACTTATAAAGTAGTTACTATTTCAAGTTTTTCTTTGAAGACACTGGGAGCTGGGCACATTAGCTCCTATCTGTAATCCTAACTACTTAGGAGGCTGTAATGAGGAAAACTGAAGTTCGTGGCCCGTCGGGGCAAAAAAAATCCCAAGACACCATCTCATTCAATAAAAAGCTGGGCATGACGGCAGAAGTGTAAATAGGAGGTTAAAGGTCCAGGCCAGCCCAGGCATAAATGTGAAACCATATTAAAAAAATACCTAAAGCAAAAAGGGCTTGGGGCATGGCTCAAGTGGTAGAGTACCAACTGACAAGCACAAGGCCCTGAGTTCAAATCTCAGTACTGACAAAAAAAAAAGGACATTGGGACTAAATTATTATCGTTCTGATATAGTAAGAATTATATAACCTGAAATATAAAGAACTCAGAACACTATAATAATTTATGAATGTTAAAAAATTATTTGATAAATTCATATTCCAGAAGAGGATAAACTAAAGTTTATTTCCTTCTGCTTAAAGCACCATATTTATTGGGGGAGGGAGGATAAGAATAGTAGAGAGGGTACACAGGATCAAAGTATATTATATACATTATGGAAAAGTTACAATGAAACCCCTCACTTTGTACAATTAATATATGCTAATAAAATAAATTTTACTTCACCAGTGTACAGTGCCTGGAACATAATAAATACTCAAACATTTGCTGAAATAGCTTACTGTTGCCTCTGACTATCTGGGTTATGGCACAGGGAGAAGAAAGAAGCACTGTGCTGGGTACCCACTTACCAGTGTGTACAGACAGCATGTTGCAACCCCACCCCGACATGTCAGCCAGGGGCAAGGAGTTTGGGCCAGACTCAATTCCTGACTAAAGATGGTGGGCACTGAACAATCTTAGCTGCCCACTGAGATGCCTGCCACTCAGGGGTCCTGAACCTGGCTTCCTGAGAAGGAAAGCAACTCAGCGCTACTCTTTTCCCTTGTGAGACAAGTGCCTAAGGTCAAGGGAGGTAACCATGCATGCTAAATCTGAGGAAAGACAGAAGGAAAGGATAAAAAACTAGGATGCTGCTTTCTGATGGGAAATACCACCTGTGAAAGCAATAGTCTCGTACAACAATCTTTATAAATGCTAGTGATTTTCTGGAATAAGGTAGTTTGTAGGGCCAATAAGGAAGAAGTGTTGTTCCCATTAAAATTTATTAGAAACCCACAAAAAGAAAGTTAAATTTAAAGTCTAATTCCCTTTTATCAGTCAACAGCGGATCACATTATTAGTGAAAATGTGGTATTACCTGAAATACACAGATATCTAGAGAATACATTGATCAGTAATGCAAAGTCCCAGACATTTTCAAGGAATTTTCTCCCTACTCTAAACACTCTGAAATAGGAAAAGAATCATTCCTATAAAATTACAATTGTATATCTCCCTCATATGTGGACATTAGATCAAGGGCAAACACAACAAAGGGATTGGACTATGAGCACATGATAAAAGCGAGAACACACAAGGAAGGGGTAAGGATAGGTAAGACACCTAAAAAACTAGCTAGCATTTGTTGCCCTTAAAGCAGAGAAACTAAAGCAGATACCTTAAAGCAACTGAGGCCAATAGGAAAAGGGGAACAGGTATTAGAGAAAAGGGTAGATCAAAAAGAATTAACCTAGAAGGTAACACCCACGCACAGGAAATCAATGTGAGTCAACTCCCTGTATAGCTATCCTTATCTCAACCAGCAAAAACCCTTGTTCCTTCCTATTATTGCTTATACTCTCTCTACAACAAAATTAGAAATAAGGGCAAAATAGTTCCTGCTGGGTATTGAGTGGGGGGAGAGGGAGGGGGCGGAGTGGGTGGTAAGGGAGGGGGTAGGGGCAGGGGGGAGAAATGAACCAAGCCTTGAATGCACATATGAATAATAAAAGAAAAAGGAAAAAAAAAATAAAATAAAAAATAAAATTACAATTGTATAAATTAAATAAAAACAACACAGAGCATAACATTTAATTATCTTGATAATTTTTTAAAAGATTTTTTTAAGGGGCTGGGACTGTCTCATGAAGCCCTAGGTTTGATTCCTAACAACAAAAAAATTATTATTTTTCAAGAGTACAGTTCTCTGCTGTTTGTGCTAAGTTAGCACAAACTCCATCACAATGGTCAAATAACTTAAGAGTTGTATCAAAGAAAATAAATAAATAAAAAGGATACAGGTGCTAGTGGCTTTCGCCATTAATATGTGGGAGGACTGAGGTTCAACATCAGCCCAGGCAAACAGTTTGAGAGACCCTATCCCCAAAATAACCAGAGCAAAATGAACCTGGGTGTGGCTTCAAAGGTAGTGTGCCTGCTTTGCAAGCATGAAGCCAAGTTCAAACCCCAGTCTTTTTTTTTCTATTTCTTAGTACAGTTTTGAGATCAGTAAGGTGATTTTTTTGGTTTGCAGAAAAATATTAAGTGCAGGCCTTCATTTGGAGAAATTACTATACCTACAGTTTAAAAGGCATCACTATCACCAATGAGAAAAACCCTTCAAGGTTGGGCAGAGTAGCTCATCCCTGTAATCCTAGTGATACAGGAGGTGGGAGACTGGAATGAGTGAGGTCCCCATCTCAACCCTGCACCTGTGGTCCCAGCTCAATTGAGGTCCAGGCCAGCCTGGGCAAAAAAAAAAAAAAAAAAAAAAAGCAAGCCCCTACCTCAAATGTAAAGCAAAAAGGGTTGGAGTGGGGCTGGTTGAGTGGCTCAAGTGGTAGAGCACCTGCCTAGCAAGTGTGAGGCCCAGAGTTCAAACCCCAATACCTCCCCCAAAAAATATTCTTAAAAGAATTCAAGAATCAGCCCATACCAAACAGGTTCAAACCAGGAGACTTATTTCTATATTATCCCTGGTGCCATATCCATAAAGCTTACAGTTTTAACATGCTGGGTGGGTGAAAGAATACCCCACAGGTTTCTAAAGTAACAGAAATTAACAGCAAACTGGAGGCTGGGAAACCCCACCTCATCCTAGCATGCCCTTTCATCCCTCAGCATGCAGGCTTCCATGACAAGTAGGACAAAAGACAAGCAATGAAACCTGGATTCCATCTCTCCCAGAAGGTCTGAAGCCAGAACAAAGATTCCTCACTCTTTTTTTTGGCGGTACTGGAGTTTGAACTCAGGGCCTCGCACTTACTAGGCAGGTGTTCTTACCACTTGATCCACTCTGCCAGCCCAACTCCTTACTTTAGAAATAGTGTACCCTCTGAAAAAGCTGCATAATTTCCAATTACCTGAGTTACCAGCCCCAGCACCATCATATAACCCCACTCCCCCATGCATGCAAAAATCCCTCAGGGTAACACCTGCCCTTTCTGTCTACTGATGTCATTCCTATCTCATCACACTGTAAAAAACACACAGAACAAACATCTAGGAAGGCACTATCATATTTTATAGACTTCACATTGTTTTCTATTATCTAAAGTCAGCATATTGCAGAGAACTACAAAAAACAGAACAAACATTAAGAAAAAGGCATGCCAATAGTTCTTGTAAGAGCAGGCAGGGATCAGGATGAAGAGCAAAAGGCTTTATCCTGCTTGACAGCTTCCCAATATATTCTACTGTCATTTTTCAATTCCTATCTATTACACAGATTCCATTTCTATTCCCACCTTTCTCTTCTCAAAGGACTCCAAATTCATCACAGTAAAGCAAGTTTTTAGGAAATCTTGTTCTGCTAGCAACAGTGGGAGATGTCATGATTCTCCTTCGGGGTTAGTTCTGCTGCCCACCTACTCCCACCATAGAGAGAAAGAACACCAGCCCATTTCATTTGGACCAAAGAATTCTGCCCACCCGCAGCAGACAGGCTCTGTAGCAATCCAGAAGCATTTTTTACTCTAGCTGGGTCCACTCACAGCAATAGCCGCAGGAGCTCTGGGTGACCGGGTCTCTGCCACTGACCTGTGCCGGTTTTTATTCTTTCGTTTTTTGTGGCTGCTGTGATGACTCCCTGAGGAGGTAGAAGAAGCAGCCTTCTGAGGTTTCACTCCCTGCACAGATCCATCCAGATCCTCAGGGTCCTCCTGGCTGGGCTCATTTTCCTGATTGTGGAAGTCTGGAGAGGTGTCACTTTCTGTCCCACTTCCTGGCTCCCCTAGAGGGAATAAAACACAAGTTCCGCAAAGCTTCCTCAGTACTCTTCAGGCAACCTGTATTATCAGCAAAGAATTTTTCAGCAACATGGTAAGAGACAGACAAAATACATATAAAGTATCAAAGTAACTAGAGGTTCTGAAAACCATGTAATCTGAAACAGTATAACCAGAGGCAACAGCTCTAGGACAGCTGGGAAGTCCAACCTTACAACCAGGATAAACTCTCTGCATGAGGTTATTTAAACATAAAATGCACTAATGGAATTAATAATTACACAAAAAGGGTGACTTGCAAAGGGCAGACAGGTCTCCAAGGGGATATAAAGGATGAGTCTGGCAAAACTGCCCACAGCTGGCCCTGGTTCCTTCCCCAAACCTGTAAGAAGCCCATCTTTCCATAAAGAACAGGTATCCAAAAATAAAAGAAAACTGAGAAAGGAGTGAGGGGAGGGGAGGGGAGGGAAAAGATGCCTCAACAAGGAGGGGAGACCATTTCATAGAAAGAAAGGAAAGAAGAGAAGGGAAGGAAGTTAGTTAGTTATGGTGGTACTGGAGTTTGAATTCGGGGCCTTATGCTTGCAAGGCAGGCACTCTACAACTTGAGCCACTCCACCAGCCCTGTTTTGTATTGAGTTTTTTGAGACAGGGTCTCACCAACTATTCGCCTGGGCTGGCTTTGAACCACAATCCTCCTGAGCTCTGCCTCCTGAGAAGCTAGATTACAGGCGTGAGCCACAGCACCCAGAATAAGCTCTACCACTTTAATCATATCCCCAGTCCTATTTTAAGAAGCCTTAAAATTTTTCTTTTCTTTTTTATTGGAGGAAGGAGGCAATGCTGGATATCAAACCCAGGGCCTGTGCCTGCTAGGCTGAGCAACATTCCCAGCCCAATAATGTTTTGCTTTGTTTTTTAAATACAGAAATATTCTTTAGGTGGCATACATTACCAATTTAAAAACATCACTAGATGTATCAAACAGAAGCAAGTTTAAGAACAATTCATATAATTATTAAATAAACTACATAACTTTTCTTTTTACACAGGGTCTCAATAGGTAGTCCACACTGGTCTCCAAGTTATTATATTTCTGCCTCAGCCTGCTGAGTGCTGGGATTACAGGCTGTACCACCATACCTAGCACACATACCCTCTTCTCTCCCTCTCTCCTTTCCTCTCCATACACACACACACACACACACACACACACACACACACACACACACGTATTGTTTTTAATGGTACTGGGGTTTGAACTCAGGGCCTTATCAGGCAGGTGCTCTACCACTTGAGCCATACTACAAGCTCTATAAGCATTTGTTTTTAAGAATATAATTACAGAGCTAGGGATGTGACTCAGGGGTAGAGTGCTTGCCTAGCATGCACAAGATCCTGGATTCAAAACAAAAAGGGAGGAGAGAACAGTCTTTGTGTCAAGTGGGAGCGTGCTTTCCTAGCAAGCCAGAGGCCCTGAGTTCAAACCCCAGTGCCACCAAAAATAAAAAATAAAAAAAAACCCTAAAACTTTTAGAATCCATAGGGAAAGCAACAGCCTATGGTTTCTTACATTTGACCACAAAAGTAAATGTGACAAAAAAATACATTTGTCTGTACTGTTCATATTAAAACTTCTGAGCCAAGTAATCCTAGCTACTCAGAAGGCAGAGATCAGGAAGACTGCAGTTTGAAGCCAGCCTGGGCAAATAGTTCTCAAGACCCTATCCTGAAAAATGCCCAATACACACAACTCACAAAAGAAAAAGGCTGGCAGAGTGGCTCAAGTGATTGAGCACCTGACTAGTAAGTGCAAGGCCCTGAGTTCAAACTCCAGTACCACCACCAAAAAAAAATAGAATGATATTGTCTCTGTGAAAGACACAGAAGTTTTGCTTCTTGTTGACATAAAAAAGAGCAACTCAGTCAGGAGCCAGTGGCCCATGCCTATAATCCTGGCTACTTGGGAGGCTGAGATCAGGAGGACCAAGGTTCAAGGCCAGTCCAGGCAAAGAGCCCACAAGAACCCCCCTTCTCCAAAATAACTGGAGCAAAATGGACTGGAGGTCCACTGGCTCCTGCTTTGCAAGCATGAAGCCCTGAGTTCAAACATCAGTACTGCCAAAAAAAAAAACCAATTCATTTTTAGAGCAAAGAACATCAGATTCTGATTAATTTGATAAACCCAGAAGCCAAGAAGTTTACTTATTAAAAGAAAGGAATAGCTATTAAAAGCAGTTGCTTCTGGTCAGCACAAAAGGCTTCAAGGAGGAAGGGAAGATATCCAGAACAACACTTACCCTGGAATGATGTAAATGTTGAAGAGATTGGTTAGGTTAGAGCTTCAGAGAAGCCCAGTAAAGCAAACAGTAGAGGCTGTGCTGATGCTTTAAAGAAAGCTAGATAAAAATCTGCCTGATTTCTTTTTATTTTATTCTTTTTACAAAAATATATAACACTTCACAAATCTGCAAAGAATTCCTCTTTGGGGACCATTCAAATCCACTCTCTTTCTAGTTCGGTACATATGAAGCCAAAGGAAGCAGAAAGCAATGCATTTGTGAGAAAAAATTTTGGAATGGCTCGAAAATAAAATGCCTAAGGTGCAAAACTGCAAAATCCTTAAAATCTAAGAATACACAAGGCAAAATTCTAGGAGAAAAGAATGTTTGTTTCATTCCCAGATTAAAGGCACAGAAAACAGAGAAACTCGGAGCCCTTGGAGGGATTCCATACACAGGAAAAGCAGTGAAAGGCAAAGTAGATCACTGCTCCCACGGACCTTCTCTCTTCAATCACCTGGGCTTCTAGGGACCGTCAAGCCTTGAGCCTGGTTTAGAGGTCAAAGCACCTAGCACAAAGGAGCAAGCTAACTTTTCTTTGGAAGACAGTACCTTCATTAACCCTCAAATCATTTTACTAAGACAGTCTACATACATGAGTTCCACATCCATGAAGTCAAACAACCATAAATAGAAAATACTCAAAAAACCCTGTATCTGTACTGACCATGCACAACTGTTAACCTAGTCATTATTCTCTGAACAATACAGTGCAACACCTATTTTACACAGCACTGACACTGCACTAGACAGTATAAATATTAAGTAATCTGAGATGATATAAAGTATATGGGAGAGGGGGTGCTCAGAGATGGAGTTACTTGATAGTCAAAAATACTGAAATGCATTGTATCTGTGCAGTAGATGACTTAACGATATATACTGAAAACTGCTGACTTGCGGGTGGTGGGAGGTAAAGAGTAAGGGAGAGTAACAGAGGGGAACTAACCAAAGAAGAGTATACTCACAGCTGGGATACACTGAGAAACCCCTTTGAACACTGACTTTTGACTGTAAAATAAGTAGTGGGAGGGGGCATACTTGTGGAAAGGGGAGAGTGAAATGGAGGAGATAAAGGTAAGGGAATATGGTTGATGGGCTTCATATACACATATAAAACAGAACAATGAAACCTCTTGCAATTGCTTTAAGTAGGGCGGGGAGGGGGTTGCAGGGAAAGATGGTGGGGGCAAGCTAACCAATGTACAATGTAAGGCTATTGGGAATTGGCACAGCAAATCTCCCCTATACAATAAATATATGCTAATAAAAATGAAAAAAATAAGTAAAACTTTAAAATAAAAAAATAAAGTAAAATAAAATATTTGGTGCCAGGAGCCATCAGCTCAAGGGGTAGAGTACCTGCCTAGCAAGCATGAGGCCCTGAGTTCAAACCCCAGTACTATCAAAAATAAATAAATAAATAAATAAAAATAAAGTACTTGAGCATCGGTTGATTTGGGTATGGGGGTAGAGATCCTGGAATGAATCCCCTACAGACACCAAAGGATAACAGTACTCTTAAATACAGTGAACAGTACACAGGCAAAGACAACCTTGCACACAAGGAAATTAGATTTCATGAATAATAACCATCAGAAAAAACAAAACAAAACAACAGAATCAGGCTCTTAAGTAGGCTCTGCAAGAGCCTGTTAATTAAACAGACTGCAAAATAACAACGCTTACTATGCTTAAAGAAGTTATTAACATAGGTCACAAGCAGAGAGAGTCTCCAAAGATGAGTAAGTTTACTCAGGAATAGCAAAGCACGGCAAAGGGAACTAGTGTGCCATGGTAAACTATGAGCCTTGAGCATGAACATGAGATAAGGGGAAAAATTTAAAGGTCAAATGAGGAGGACTACATTAAGTTGGGTTTTTTATTTTATTTTGCTTTACTTTTTCAGTGCTAGGAATTGAACCCTACTAGAAAATAGAATGTTGGGTACCCAGAGGTTTGGAAAGGTGAGGGGGTAAGCAGGGTTGGGGAAAGGCTGGACAACAAGCACAAAGTTATAGAAGTAGATGCACAGTAGGGTTGACGATATTGTATATAACTGCTCATGTGTTATAAAACATATGATTCAAAATAACTAGAAGGATTTCAAATATTCTTTTGAATTCCCTTTTTTTCTTTTGGTGGTTCTGCAGGTGGAACTCAGGGCCTCACGCTTGCTAGACAGGTGCTCTACCACTTGATCCACTCTACTAGCCCTTAAATGTTCTAACTACAAAGAAATAATAAATGTTTGAGGGGGTGGATATGGTCACTATTCAAATTTGATATTTTGTAAACATGTAATGAAATATCACATAAATATGTGCAACTATTATGTGTCAATTAAAATTTTTAAAAATAGGAGTCTGGAGGTGTAGCTCAGTGGTAGCATGTTTGCTTAGCATACATAAAGTACTAGTAAGTTTGATTTCTAGCACTGCAAATAAATTAGTAAAATAAAAAAAAAAAAAAAGAAGTCCAATGAGCTAGGCACAGTGGCTCATGCCTTAATCCTAGCTATTTGGGAGGCTGAGACAGGAGGCTCACAGTTCAAGGCCAGCCTGGGCAAATAGTTCTCAAGACCCCATCTCCAAAATAAGCAGAGCAAGTGGAACGGCAGTGTGGCTCAAGTAGACTGCCTGCAGGATGTGAGGGCGATCTGGCTGCGACATCTGTCACCCCATTGATCGCCAGGGTTGATTTGGCTGATTTGGCTGGCTAGGCGGGTGTCCCCTTCCTCCCTCACCGCTCCATGGGCGTCCCTCCCGAAGCTGCACGCTCGGTCGAAGAGGACAACCATCCCCGATAGAGGAGGACCGTTCTTCGGTCAAGGGTATACGAGTAGCTGCGCTCCTCTGCTAGAACCTCCAAACAAACTCTCAAGTAGACCGCCTGCTTTATAAATGTGCAGCTCTGAGTTCAAACCCCAGTCTCACCAAAAATAAATAAGTCCAATGAAACCCAGATACATAAAACCATATACATAAATAAAAAGAAATTCATACTCACACACATTCTAATTAACTATAGAAAGTCAGGATGAAAATTAAGTTTTTGAAAACAGCAGTGAAGACCCACATATAGTGGCACATATCCATAATCCCAACAGTTGCAAGGTGGAGGCTAGAGGATTTTAAGGTCAGCCTGGGTAAAAAGTTAGTGATCCCATCTCAATCAATAAGCTGAGCACACTGATAGACATGTGTGGTCCTAGCTACGTGGGAAGCCAGGAGGCCTTAAAGAGGACTGCGCTGAGGCCAGCCCCAGGCATAACCCAAGCCCCTTACCTGAAAAATTGTGTGGCTCAAGAGGTGGAGCACCTGCCTAGAGAGCCCACGGTCCTGAGTTCAAACTCAAGTATGGAAAAGGAAAGGAGGGAGGGAGGGAATGGCCCACCGTGTGAGAGCACGCTGAGAAGTCTGCAGTCTGTAATCCAGAAGAGGGCCCTCACCAGGACCCAACCATGCTAAGCTCTCATCTCCAGAACTACAAGCCCTCTACCACTAAGCTACATTCTCAGTCCTGAAATTATCTTTTTGGCTGTCTGGTTTGTCTGCATGCTCCTTAGGACACGGACCCTCTGAGTTCATGTGGGAATAAGGCACTGAGTAGGACTGGCCTGACTCTTCACATCCAGGAAGAAGAAAACAGAAACAGTTTCTCTCTCAGAGATTCCCATTGTGAGAAAACATCTGCTGCAACAGGTCTTGCTGTATGTCTCAGGCTGGTCTCAAATTCCTGACTCAGTCGGGTGCAGGGGGCTCACACCTGTAATCCTAGCTACTCAGGAGGCAGAGATCAGGAAGATCACCATTCGAAGCCAGCCCAAGCAAATAGTTCTCAAGACCCTACCTCGAAAAAGCCCATCACAAAAATTAGATGGCAGAGTGACTCAAGGTGTAGGTCCCGAGTTCAAGCCCCAGTACTGCCAAAAAACAAACTTCTGGAGTCAAGTAATCCTTGTGCCTCAACCTCCTGAGAATTGACCATAGGCAAATGCCACCTCACAGGCTGATATAAATTTTGAATTCCATCGTTTAATTATAACATTCTTTTTAAATAATATTCATGATTCACCAAAACAGGGACATGTTTACAAATATTCTCCTTTGCTACATCAATTAGAGTAAAAGTTGAACAAAGAGTGCAAAAGAATTACTATAAAGGTACTCTGACCATCTGAATAATGAGTACCAATACTTAGGTAATAGCACAATATAGACATATCCTGCTTTATTCCAAAAAGAATTCAAGGCAGTTAATCAAGTGTCATATAATGAAATGTAATGAAAATAAATTTAAAATGTGAAGAGTAAAGCAATGAGAAATAGCAAAGTAAGCTGGATGCAGTACTAAGATTTATTTCCAAAATGCATGCCACAAATTTCTATTTGCTCACTGAGGGAGAACCACAAATTTGGCTTTAAGTATTTTAGCAACCACATAAAGAGGTAAACAATAAAATAAGATTTTCAGTTAAAAAAAACCTAGTTGTTTTAAGGCTGAGCATGGTGGTACACACCTGCAATCTCAGCAATCTGGGAGGCAGAGACTGGAGGATCTAGGTTCCAGGCAAAAAAACACAAGACCCTATCTGAAAAACAAACTAAAAGCAAGAGAATTGGAGGCATAACTCAAGTGTAGAGCTCTTGCCCAGCAAGTACAGGCTTTTTCAATACCCATTACTGCAAAAAAAAAAAAAAAAAAAATTTGTTCAGGGAAAACTATTCCTTAAGTTCCTTAAGGAACAATAATAATAAACAGCACCTCTGAATGCAGTAAGTCTTTTCCTGGGATGGAGGTATGGCACAAGCAGTAGAGCACCTGCCTAGCAAGCACAAAGCCCTGAGAGTTCAAACACAAGCATTGCCAAAAAAACAAAAAAGAAAGTCTTCCTGAAAAATGCCTGGGTGTAGCTATTCTGTGTGGGTAAATAGGTACAAAGCCACTTCCTAAATTATTAGGTAAACTGGGGCAGGATTACAGGCTCTCATGAAAGCTGAAAAGTCAGACAGCACTCCATTTCCACTCAATGAGTGAGGCCCAGGATGTTCCTTAACCAGGCTTAAGATTTAGTTGAGAATAATAGTAAAGAAAAAAATCAGAAGGACTTGGTACAATAGATGAGGTAGGCAGAAAGGAGTCAAAGATGCCTACAGAGTTCTGACAGGGAGAACAGAAGAACTGGAACAAAATAATTCAGCAGAAACTTTGAGTTTTTTGGGTTTTTTGTTTTTGGCAGTACTAGTGTTTGAACTCAGGGCCTCACACTTGTTAAGGAGGCACTCTATCACTTGAGCCACTCTGCAAGCCACGTTTTGTGTTGGTTATTTATTTATTTTGTGGTACTGGGATTTGAACTTAGGGCCTACACCTTGAGCCACTCCATCAGTCCTTTTTTGTGAAGGGATTTTTTGCCTGGCCTGGCTTTGAACCACAATCCTATCTCTGCCTCCTGAGTAGCTAGGATTACTGGTGTGAGCCACCAGCACCCAGCTGTTTCTGTTTTGTTTTTTGTTTTGTTTTGAGACAGTTTGGCTGGCCCTAGAACTTGCAATCCTCTTTCCTTAGCCTCCCAAGTGCTGGGAGTACAGGTGTGCACCACCACACAGAGCTTTGGGCAGAAAACTTCTGAAGGAAATAGTTCTATTTAGACAAAATGTTTGAATTTGAATATCTGAGTGAGAACACCTAAATTTTGGGAAGGCAAGACTAAAGCTCAGGAAAGGGGTTAGAGACAGAACAACAAGTTTAGAATTCTGTACACAGAAGATACTAATTGAAGTCAATCACTGAGTGGTTCTAATTCCCAAGCTCCCAAAGTCCCTTTTCCTCAAACCACTGTTTCAATGCAAATGAAAGATCTAGATTCCATAACAGGATACATCAGCTGAAAGAAGTACACAAGGTAACTTTTGTGAGTGATCCAATGCACAGAGAGAACACCCATGGAGCTGTACAGTCTGACTCTGCAGACAAATGTGCAGACCTACCTCCCATTGCTGACTTATGTACGATATGAACTGTTTGCAACGAAAATGGTATTTACTTTCCATCTTATACATAGGAACACACAGGTACATACTAAGAATGAGAATTTCCTAAGAGGAAGGAACTGGTGGGTCACACCTGTAAACCCTGGCTACTTGGGAGGATGAGATCGGGAGGATCTATTTGCCAGCCCAGGCAAATAGTTCTCAAGACCCATTCTTCAAAAATAGCTAGAGCAAAATGGACTGGAGGTGTGGCTCGAGTGGGTAGAGTACCTGCTTTGAAAGTGCAAAGCCCTCAATACAAACCCCAATACCACCAAAATAAAAACAAGAATTTCCTATGAACCAAGTGTGGTGGCACACTCCAATATTTCTAGTACTTGGAAGGACAAGGCAGGAGGATTGTGAGTTCAAGGCCAGCTCGGGGCTACATAATGAGACCCTGTCTTTAAAAAAAAAAAAAAAAACCAAAAATTTTCCTAAGAATTAAGTTGGGTACTGGAGATTTATTAGATGTGTTCAAAATTCTCTATAAAAGTTTATTTATTTATTTAATTTTTTTTTCTTTTTTTTTTTTTTAGTGGTACTGGGGTTTGAACTCAGGGCCTTTATACTTGCTAGGCTGGCAATCTTCCACTTAAGCCACACCTCCAGCTTCCCAAATATTTATTCTTTTTTTTTTTGTGGTGCTGGGGTTTGAACTCAAAGCCTACACCTTGAGCCACCAGCCCTTTTCTGCGATGGGTGTTTGTGAGATAGGGGCTTGCCAACTATTTGCTTGGGCTGGCTTTGAACTGTGATCCTCCTGATTTCTGCCTCCTGAGTAGCTAGGATTACAGGTGTGAGTCTAGCTTAAAAGTTTATTAAAAAAAAAAATCCCAAAGAATTTAAAAGACTTATCAGGAGCAGAGACATGACTTTGTGTCTTTCAGCAGCTAGAGCCAAATTTCATGGGACAGAAGAGGCAGTAAGGGCATGAGAGTTTCTTCCACAAAAGAATGGAGTGATTAGGATGCCAAAGGGCCATCCAACTTCTAGAAAGAGGGAACAGCATAAGAGACGAAGTCCTCAGGCACACAGCTGGATGGACTGGAGTTAAACTTAGGGAGTGTGAAAGGTTAAGAATAAACTGATAAGAGAAATAAAAACAGAAACTTACTCTTCTCAATGAGCTGGTCCTGAACGCCTGCCAATGCACTTACTGCCTAAAAGAAAAGCCACCGGTTACTAGAAAAGCGACCACAGGCCTCAGGAGAGTACTCTCCTGTGGGCAGGCAGGGGAAGAGGAAATGCACATTCCTCAACAAAGGGCCACAGGAGGATGCCCCCAACTTACAGCTGCCGAAGTAACTGAAGATTTACTGAACAGCCGCTCTGCTTCCTTAAACTTCCGGTTCCTCCGATCGTTTTTGCTATTGGAGTTTCTAAAACACACAGAAGAAATTAATTATAAGCACCAAGCCATGTCTATGGCTCAAGCTGGCAATGCTGGGGCAGATGAAAGGAACTCACTCCTTTTTAACCGAGCTCCATGCAGGAACTGATTCATGTCCACATACCCTAACAACCTCTATGTCAAATGCCTATATACATGCAGTATTTCCCAAAGGATGGTATATGCTCCACTGTCAAAGGTGACACTGTTTTAGTTGCTTCACAAACATTTTCATTTTATTTATTTATTTTCTTTTTAAGGAGCTCAGGAGCCTGGGGGACATGAGAGGCATGTCTTGCCTGACAATGTAACACAACACAGCACTGCCCCAGGTGTGGCAGCCAACACTGCCCCCCACACACATACAAACACCTAGCTCCCCTCCTCACCTCATCTTTTTGTCGTTCCCCCCCGCAGTGGTCCTAGAATTTGAACTCAGGGCCTCATACTCGTTAGGCAGGAGCTCTATGACTTGAGCCACTCCACCAGCCCACCTCACCCCATCTTAATATGAATTTATTTTAATGCTTAGTATTAAAAGTGACTATGACAAGAGCTGGATGTGATGGTGCATGCCTGTAAGGCCAGCACTTCGGAGGCTAAGGCAGGACGACTGTGACTTCAAGGCCAACCTGGACTACATAGTAAGACCCTATCTCCAAAAACTAAAAAGAAAAACCTACTGAATTTTTATAGCACAGATATATGATTAATCAGCACCACCAAAAGCAGGACAATCTGGCATTGTGTGCCTCCGATAAAGCAAAGGCACAGCAAGCTTGGTGTATTGTTGGCTCATGCCTATGATCCTAGCTATTTAGGGAGCTGAGATCAGGAGTTGTGGTTTCAGGCCAACTCAGCCAAATAGTTTGCAAGAGCCCATCTCCAAAATAACCAGACCAAAATGGACTAGAGGTGTGGCTCAAGTGTTAGAGCACCTGCTTTACAAGTGCAAAGCTCTGAGTTCAAACCCCAATCCCACTTTAAAAAAAAAAAAAAAAGAGGCACATCATAAAAAGTATACAAATCATTTGTTTTGGACAAAAATGTTTAAAGGATTGCTCACACAAGGCAGTAAGAAAAAATCTGAAATTGGAGCATTCTATAAAACAATGCCATGACTACCACCATAGCCTCCAACAAAAAGGGTGAGAAACGCTCCCAAATCTTAAGACTTAAAGAGACATTAATGGCCAGATTCAATGTATGAATGCTGACTGGATCCTGGATCAAAACAAAGCATTTTGGGGATCACTGAGGAAATGTGAATTAAGGTTGAGTATATCACTGACGTCACATTCATTTTTTAAGTGTGGTCACTACAGTTGAATAGGAGCAATGGTCTTGTTCTCAGGAGGTAACTCCTGGCATAGGTAGGGGCAAAGTTTCATGATACCGGCATCTAACTGCCCAATAGTTGGGATATGTAATTACAAGGAGCAGCCTAGGGAGATGTCTGTGGTGGGACTAGCTCTGCACCTTTGCTGTATAGTTACATGAATCCACACATTCTAAACAGCCACAGAACTCCAGATACATATTGTACTGATGTCAATTTCTTGGTTTTGATAATCTTCTATAGTCACATAAAATGCAACCTCTGGGGAAAACTGCAAGAAGGGTACACAAGACCTCTCTGTGCTATTTTTGCAACTTAAGATTCTACAATTATTTCAAAATTTAAAAAAAATCACAAATGTATATATGTGTTTACACTTATTACAGAGAAACAGAGGCAGAGAAATACATATTAACAATTGGTGAATATAAGTGAATAGTATCAACTGTGTACTTTAAGTTTTTCTATACATTTGAAAATTTTCCATAAATTTTACAGAATCGTATTTCTAAGTAAATAGTAGTATAGTAGGCCCACGGGTATGGCAACAATTGTGAGAGTGGAACTCACAACTGATTAAATTGGAGAAAACACAATTTAATTGTGTAAGATACTGTCACACACTGCATATCATGTAAACCTCACACAAAACGATGCCATGGGTCCAACTTTCCCTATATACAGATATGGGAAAGTCCAATGCTACTCAGTGTGGCAGTAGCACTGCCACAGTTCAAGTTCAACCCTGACCTGTTTGCACACCACCACTTTACTCCTACCTCTGCAAAGTTGCTACCAGGAACATACAGTCCTACAGACAAATGTTACTAGGGCACAATAGGAACACTATCGGTATTGACACTCACTTTTGGTTGGTCAGATACCGATCCCAGCCACGAATAATATTGCCATACATCTGAGTGTCTTCCAGATAGCTTCCTTCAAAAGCATAGATCTGTCTCTCCAAGTTTGCAAGTGTTTCCTGAGATGAAAAACAGACAAAAAAAAAAAAAGCCTTTAAATCCAAGCATGAAAGCATGACCAAATTAAAATCTTACTGTTAGAGACTTGCAAACCCAGATCATCCACACGGAACCATCTTTGTGGAGAGATGGATGATGGGGGAAGGGCCAAACTGCTCAGGCTTAAAAAGGTCTAGACCTCCTGGGGGCAGTGAGCCCCTTTGTGAATAGAATGTAATATACGGAGCCAGCCCTCGGAAAAATGCACAGGCATGCAAATTTTTGCATATATTTCAGAGAGAAACCTGGCTATGAAATACAGGGTCGAGGCCGAGCGTGGGCCGCGGCCCACTCCCACTCACTTAAGAGTGTCACTCGCTATCAGAAGAGAGAAGGACCGGCAGCCTTTCAGCATCAATTCCATCCCCTCCCCGCAGGCTCAGAAAGGCCTCCCGCCCCCCCCCCGCCCGTTGCCATGGAAACCTGGAAGGGCAGCTCCAGGTGAGCTGGGCCTCCGGGTGCGCAATGCCACACGCGGGGGAGAGGGGGGAGGCAGTCAATCCCGGGTACGCGCCCGGATTCCGCCACCTCTCCCCGCGCCTGTCACCTTCCAGATGTTCGCAAGCACATCGTCCCTGCCCATAGAACACGCCACCCAACGGATCTACTGCCCATACCGAAACGGACACGCTCCCCCATTCTCCAAAGGCCACACTAGGCGACCCGGGTCCGCCTCCTACGGCCGCCTCCTTCCCACCCTATGCCTACAGCGAGCCGGAGCGCCGCCCGCCCTCCCGCGCCCCTCCCCCTCCCCTCCCCCACCCCTTCCGCCTCGGCTGTGGACCGGCAGGCCCGGAGGACGAGCGGCCGGCGGGCCGCGGAGCGCGCTGGGAGCCCGGGCCGCCGCACTCCCGCTTGCCGCGCTCGCCCCCGCAGCGACGAACCAGCGGAGGCCCAGCGGGGACGGCGCTTCGGCCCCGGCCCCGACCCCTCACCGCCAGTTCCTGCTTCCGCTTCACGAGCTCCGCCAGCTCCCGCCGGGTGTCCGGGATCTGCGGCGGCGCCGCCTTGTTGTGCATCGCCATGTTGGGCTGAAGCGGCGGCGGCGGCAGCGGGCGGCGAGGGCTGTGGCGCGCGGCTGGGGGCGGGCCTTGTGCACCACCCCGCCGCCCGCCAGGGGGCGCACTGCGCCTGCGCGCGCCGCTTCCGGGGAGGCTGGGCGTCCGGCGCGCGGAATCTTGCTCGCAAGACGCCGGGTCACTCGGCTTTTGCACCCAGTCGGATCTACCTTCCCGCCGCGCGCGCTTGGTAAAAAATCCCACCTTCGCCGTGTCCAGAACCAAGTTGCTCCTTAAGCCTCCCGAGTATCCGGTATGCCCTACGTCCGTGATGCCTTTTACAGACCGCGAAGACCAAGTCAATCACTGGAACATCGTCCTCCCGTTCCATCCAGGATGAGGTCCGGTCCAAAACCAAGTCCTGTCGACTGCACTCTGCAGCTGTGTTTGTTTTTGTCTGCTCCTCCGCCACAGCTCATTTAGGCCCTCCTATTTCGGGCCACATTATTCCAGCAGTCTCCCTGTCTCTGCCTCCACCTGGCCCCATTTAATCCCTTATCCACAGTGGTGCTAGAATGACCTTCCAAGGGCAAGAGTAATGTCCCTCGCCTGCTTAAAGTTTTCCAATAGCTCCCCCTTGTCCTTTAGAAGAAACACATGTGTATGGCTAAGGGTACAGACTGGAGTCAGAAGTACCTTGTTCAAAACCCTTTTCCAACGTGGTGGCTCCAGTCTGCAATCCCAGCACTCAGGAGACAAGGCAGAGCCGGGCTCGGTGGCTCACACCTGTAATCTTAAATTAGGAAGCAGAGATGAGGAGGACTGAGGTTTAAAGACAGCCCGGGAAAATAGTTCCCTCGAGACCCTATCTCGAAAAACCCTTCACAAAAATAGGGCTGGTGGAGTGGCTCAAGGTGTAGGCCCTGAGTTCAAGCCCCAGTACTGCAACAACAGCAAAAAAATTATTGTGTCGATACCGTCACCTGGCACCTGGGCTCTTGCAGAACTCCCTTATTAATTCTGGCAAGTTTTTTTTTGTTGATTGCTGGGGATTTCTTATGTCAGCAGTCAGTTCATCTGCAAATAGGAAGCTGGTTTGTTTTGTTTTCTTTTTCCTTAAACTGTATGCTCTGTTTCCTTTTCTACCTTGTTCTGACAAGACATCCAGTAGTATGCCTACTAGTAGGGATGCAGGTGGACACCTCTGACTCGTGCCCTTTCTTGGGCAAATCTTCACCGTGAAGTATGATGTCACTTGTAGAGGCTGTCTCGATGCTCCTTAGCAAGGCGAGGAAGTTCCTCTGTAGTCCTACCTTGCTGAGAATTTTTATCATAAGAGGCATTGGATTTGTCAGTTTTTTCCACGCATCAATTGATATGATCACATGGTTTTTCTTTTTTTCAAATTACTTTTGATTATGTGTTTTTTCCTTAGTCTCTTAATATAGTGGATTACATAGATTAACTTTCAAATATTGAACCAGCTTTGCTTGTCAGAAGTAACCCCAGTTGGCCATCTCATGTAATTCTTTTTGTAGATTGCTAGATTCAATAGTTTTGTTTTGTTTTGTTTTTCGCAGTATTACGGCCTTGAACTTGCTAGGCAGGCACTCTACCACTTGAGACACTCCACCAGATCCCTTTTTTCTCTTTTAAAAGTTCTCTCTCTCTTTTTTTTTTGCTTGTTCATTTGCTTTTTTTTTTTTTTTTTTGGTACTGTCCTGTATGGTTTTGGTATCAAGATAATATAGACCTCATAAAAATAAGGTGGAAAGTGTTCCCTGCTTTTCTCATCTTTAGAAGAAAAGGTACAGAATGGTGCTAATGCTCTTGAAATGCTTAAAAAAATTATTCAGGGAAACCACCACCATGTGGTCCTGGTAATTTCTTTTGGAGGCTTTTTTATTACAAATTCAATTTCTTTAATAGTTATAGGGGTATTGGGTTATTTATTAAATATTAGGTGAGTTTGAGTGGTTTATGGTTTTTGAGGAATTGATTCATTTTTCTAAGTTAATTTTATGTGCATAATCTCTTTAAAATTTTTATTAGTATGAAGTAATTGTGCAAAGAGGTTTCATTGTGAGGTTTACATATATGCATATAATGTATTTTCATCAAATTTACTGTCACCAGGCATCAGTGGCTCGTGTCTATAATCCCAGCTACTTGGAAAGCTGAGGTCTGAAGGACTGTGGGTTGAGGCCAGCCAGGGCAGAAAGTTCTCGAATTCCCTGTCTGCAGAATAACCAATGCAAAATAGACAGAAGGTGTGGCTCAAGCATAGAACATCTGTTTTGCAAGGATGAAGCCCTGAGTTCAAACTCCAGTCCCACCAAAACAAAACAAAACAATTCACTGTCTATACTTCTTTTTCTTTCTTTTTTTCTCTTTTTTTTTTACAGTACTGGGGCTTGAACTCAGGGCCTACACCTTGAGCCACTCCACCAGCCCTTTTGTTGTGATGGGTTTTTTTGAGATAGGGTCTTGCCAACTATTTGCCTTGGCTAGCTTGGAACCATGATCCTCCTGATCTCTGCCTCCTGAGTAGCTAGGATTACAGGTGCAAGCCACCAGCACCAGCTATATTACTCTTTCTTAACCCTCCTCTCTTTCTTCCCCTCACTTCTAACAGTTTTTCATGGATTTCATTATGCTATTTTCATACACATGTATACAATATACTTTGATCATATTCACACACACACACAACCTGTCACCCTCCTCTTTCTCCCTCCCCCTTTCCACTGGTTATTCCCCTCACTAACAGTTCCCCTTTTATAATCATGTCATTTTTTTTCAAGTTACATTATACATAGGAGGGAAAACATGCAATATTTGACTTTCTGAGTTTGACTTATCCTGCTCAACATAATCTCCAGTTCTATCCATTTTCCTGCAGATGACATAATTTTATTCTTCTTTATTGCTAAGTAATACTCCATTTTTTTTTTTGGTGGCACTGAGGTTTGAACTCAGGGCCTCACACTTGCCAGGCAAACACTCTACCACTTGAGCTACTCCACCAGCCGTGTTCTGTATTGGGTATTTTTCAAGATAGGGTCTCTCAAACTATTTCCCCGGGTCTGGCTTCAAACTTCGATCCTCCTGATCTCTGCCTCCCAAGTAGCTAGGATTACAGGCGTAAGCCACCGGCGCCCCACAATGCTCCATTGTTATTTACCACATTTTCTTTATCTTCTCATCTGTTCTTGGACGCCCAGGCTATTCCATAGATTGGCTGTTGAGAATAGTGCGGCTACAGGCGCAGGTGTGCAGGAATCTATTGTATGTTGACTTACATTCCTTTGGATATATACCCAAGGGTAGTATAGCAGGATCATATCATATGGCTGGGTCATACAGTAGTTCTATTTTTAGTTTCTTCTTTGTGGGGGGAAGGAGAAGTGGTACTGGGGTTTGAATTCAGGGTCTTTTGCTTTGCTAGGCAAGTGCTCTACCACCTGAGCCACGCCTGAGCCCTAGTTTTAGTTTCTTGCAGAACCTACTTACTGATTTCTGTAGTGGCTGCACAAATTTACATTCCAACCAATGGCTAGTAACAGTTCCTTTCCCCCACTCCTCCCTGCATCCTCAAAAGCATTTCTTGTTTGTTTTCTTGAGGATAGTCATGGAATCTCTGTGTCATTTTTTTTGCATTTCCTTTATGGCTAAAGATGTTGAAGATTTCTTTATGTGTTTAGTAAGCATTTGTAAATCTTTTAACTGTCTGCTTAATCCATTTGCCCATTTATTGATTGGATTATTTTTTTCTTTTGGTATTTAATTTTGTGTGTGTGTGTGTGAAGGGTTTTTCGAGATAGGGTCTCCTGGAACTGTTTCCCTAGGCTGGCATCAAACCGTGATCCTCCTGATCTCTGCCTCCTGAGTAGCTAGGATTACAGGCATGAATCACTGGTGCCTGGCAAGGATTTTTCTTACTGCAGGGGCTTGAACCCAGGGCCTTGCACATGTTAGGCAAACACTCTACCACTGAGCTATATCCCCAGACTTGGTGTTTGGTTTTTTTAGCTCTTTATATATTCTGGATATTAATCCTTTGATGAATAGCTTACAACAATTTTCTCCCATTCTATGGGTTCTCTCTTCATTCTGGTAATTGTTCCTTTCGCTGTACAAAGCTTTTCAATTTCATGCAATCCCATTTGTCAATTCTTGCCCTTATTTCCTGAGAAACTGAAGTCCTTTTCAGAAAGGAACGCCTTTCTATTGTATGTTGACTTACATTCCTTTGGACCTATGCCCAAAATGGTATAGTGTTGTCACATGATAGAGCTGGGTCCTACAGTTTCTTATGCCTGTATCTTCAAGTGCTTTCCTATGCTTTATTGTAGTAGTTTCAAAGTTTCAGGTCTTTTATTAAGATCTTTCATCTCTTTTGAGTAAGATATTTCATCTCTTTTGATTTTTGTAGAGGGTGAGAGATAAAGATCTGGTTTCAGTCTTCTGAATGTGGATATCTGGTTTTCCCAGCCCTATTTGTTGAAGAGATGTATTATTTTTGGCAGGTTGGTCTCTCTGTGCTTTTATGTACAGTAGTGTTTGTTTTAGGAAATTGGGTGTGCAGATAGTCAGTGCATATGTTTACAATTTTTATCTCCTCTTGATGTATTGTTCCTTTTATCAGTATGAACTGACCTTCTTTGTCTCTTCTGACTAATGTTGTTTTGTCAGATATAAGGATAGCTACTCATGCTTGCTTTCAGGCTCCATTTTCTTGGAAAGTCTTTTTCTGTCATTTCCCTCTAAGCCTGTGTTTGTCTTTGCCAGTGAGGTGCATTTCCAGTGGGCAAAAAATGGCTGCCTACTGGATCTGTTCTTTAATTACCTGCTAGTCTGCATCTTGTGATTGGAGAATGGGGACCATTAACATTCAGTTGCTATGGAAATATATGCACTGATTCTTGTCATTTTGTTGTGTTTGTCATATTTGGTATCTACGTCTAGAAACAGTGCTTGATGCGGTCTCTGCCATGACCCTCAAGCAATGGGAGTTGCTCTCTCCTGGGACTTCAGGGTCACTGGTCACCATACTCTTTGCT